TGCTTATAAATTCGATTAGATTTATTTATAATTAGTATTTAAGAGACGATTGCTTCGATACGTTTTGATCACAATAATTAAATCAATAGTTATAACGTATACAAAAAGTACTCTGCGGTTAACACGATAATTATGAAAGTGACGGTTTTATTTTGATAAATTATAAGTTTTATTTTTTATTGTTAGTGGCCAGTGTCGAAGTGTATATAATTACTATGTCCACATAATGTGTTTTCGTGTTTTATGGGGTAAGAAAACTTACTTAGTCGTTAATAATGAAATATTGTTAGCTAAGTTTACTCATCTCCTCTCATATCTGAGATGCTTGTTGGCAGTCTTCACATGTTATCGAAATATACATAGGTCATTTTTAGACTTTCTGTTTTCTTCTAGTTTTGTTCTCGTTTTCTTCCACCGCTTTACATGTGCATAAGCACTTAAAATTGGAACTAACCATTTCATTTATGCCTGCGGGGATCGAACACGAGTTGCTCGCGTACTGTAAAAATTACGACGAGCACGAAGCCTCTGAACTACCATAGGTCTATTTTTTAAATATCTGTTTTTTTTTACAAGATGGGTAAATAGGTACACCATAGAACGATAGAAATAGATTTTTTATTTAATGTAGATTATTAATAATATTTATTGAGAGATATTCTTATGCTTAAATTACTACTGGTTTGGAAAGTTCCTCTTTCCTGGGAAGAAAAATATAGAAAACATGAATACAGTTTACGAATCATGTATTAAGTTGTTAAGTTAAATAACTAAACAAATCTTATTAGAAATGACTGAGTAGCGATCACCTCATTTTATAGCGTTTATAAATTGCTTAATATTATAATAACTTAATGATTTCTTATATTTACGCGAACACTACACATTGAAATAATACTAATTTTCCTCGCTAAAGAACACCGATTCCTTCCAAGGATGATTCGCGAGGCTATTGAAATCAAAAAACATCCTAATTTCAATAGAGAAGATGGCTGGGTGCTACCATCTGCTTGGGATCCTATAATAAATAAAATTAAATCCCAACCCAAGCATACAACTGCAAGACTCCATGATACCATAAGTTCATACTGTGTAGATCGGAACAAAAGTTAAATTTTAATCTATGGTAACCGCGGTTAACTATGACAGCTGGACGTTGAACATCTCAGTCCTTCCCGTGACCATGGGTGCTGTAAAGCTCTCGAAACGTCGGGTAAAAAAGTTAAATATACGCGATAAATTCCGTAAAAATTAGTATTATTTCAATTATAATAACTTTTTCATTATATTATAATAACCGTTTTATCGTTCTTCCGTCGAGGCTGTAGTCCTAACGGGTTAGGAGAGTCCTACCTTATAAATATGTATGTTATGAGTATGTTCCTTGTTAACTTTGCTGTTAAACTTTGTGTCGGACAAACTTTGTTCTATATTTTCTGGGATTTGTTTTTGTTACAGCGTTAAACCCTCAGGACCCGAAAAAGCAGACACAGCCCTAAGAATATATATTTAAATCTATCAAGGATTCATTTCAGGATAGCATGGATTCTAGGGAGTTGAGTAACTGGTACTTACTAGCTTGTGCCTGTACCATAGAAATCTAAATAATAAGCCACTAGAAATGCGTTCTACTGTCTTTTAATATCGTGACGCGTGTCGCCGGTTCACAGCTATCATACATAGACAAACAATAAATACACATTTTGTCCGGCAACGCATCTGCAATTCCCCTGGTGTTGCAGTATTCATGGGCGGCGGTAATTACTTACCATCAGGTGAGCCGTATGCTCGTTTGCCCCCACTCCTATTAACAATATCACCTACACATATCTCTAGCATTCATACAACAAAGATTAAACTATATACTATTGCGTTAAGGAATATTTTATAAAAACGCAAAATCTCAGGAGGCGTAGCCACTCGGTGCAATAATTAACGTGCTTTATTATTTGCCTTATTATTTAGATTTCTTTGGTCTGTACCTATAAACACCGGAATGAATATCACTTATTTTTAAAATATTTTATGTTTTGTGTAGGTATATTGTAGCTATAGTGCATACAATCATACAATAAAATATATATATATATATATATATATATATATATATATAAATAAATGAAGTGAAGTGAAGTTACAGCCTATATACGTCCTACTGCTGAGCACAGGCCTCCTCTCATTTCTGAGAGGGTTTCAGGGCAAGGGAGTGTCCGCCGCGCTGCCCTAAGCGTGTTGGCGAACTTCACATGTCTTCGAATTTTTTTTCTTATTCCTCAGACATGCAGGTTTCCTCACGATGTTTTCCTTCACCGCCGAGCACGTGGTAAATCAGCACTTAAAATTGCAATTAACAATATCATTGGTGCCGGCGGGGATCGAACCCGGGTTACTCGCGTTCTGTTATATTTACAGCGAGCGTTAACCATCCGAGCAACCACGGCTCTTATATTATATATATATATTCCAATAACCCATGGGTATGATGGCATGGGCATGACGGGCAGCGGCGTCTTTCAAATGACAGCTAAAAATAAAATTAAACTGCTCTTGCCAAACCGGCTGCCAAGTGTGGCATCTATGCTAAATACCCCCTGCCCCTCTCTTTAGCAGTAGACTTTGAATGGGCTGTAAAGGTAACGGTATGAAAACATTAATTTCCTGACATCATCATTACAGCCCTTCACAAGTCCACTGCTGAACATAGGCGTCCCGCAATGAATGCCACAAAGCACGGTCCTGAGCCACCTGCATCCATCGACTTCCTACATGTCTTACCGGGTCGTCACTCCATCTAGTCGGGGGTACTACACTTCCTTCCTTCCTTAGCCCTCTCGATAGCTCGCATGAATATGTATGCCGTGGCAGCATGCCGTGGGCTAGTTACTCAGTAACCCTGCTGCGGTTAGTGTGATAGATCTCGTCATTCATCATACTAACCGCAGCAGGAGACGCTTTTCCTCCGGGTTGACAATGCATCAGCATTTTGGATCTTAATCGAGGAAAAAAAACTTGATATACAAAGCTCGTAGGAATATTATATTTGTAACTTTGCTAAAATTGAGAAAAATACATTCAGAGTCAAATCATTATCGTCAAAATTAAATTAAAAAAAGAGGAAAAAATGATATAGAGAGTTTATATGCGAAATATTCCGATATTTATTATTTGTAAGGGGGTAAAATGATCAACCATTGATATTTTTTATCAATAGACAGTTAAAGTAAAACCCGATACTCGGTAATTTTTTTCAAAACCGTATAGATTGTCTCATGCTTTAAAAAATGAAATTAATAATCAAATGCTGAACGAGAATATTATTGAACCTCTAGTTTATAGACCATAGCATTCACTTACCGTCAAACTAACTACATTCATATTTGTCACATTTTCTTTTTTTAATCAAAAATTGAACAGACAAATGAACTTAAGTCCACCTGGGTCCTATTTTTTAAAAGTTACAAACCGAACAATTTGTAAAAAAAAAATTGGTTTTATTATTGAATAATACAGTAAATACCGTTTAATAAAGCTACAAATTTGTAAAGTAACAATTAGAATAGTTGTAAATTACACTTCTAAAATAAAAATAAAACGCCTATAACTTTAACATTAATTACTAATTACTGTTAAAGTTACTAATTACTAATTATTAGTAACCTGTTCAAGGTGTAGTATTCGCGTTCGTAAGATCATTATGATGCAATTGTAACTGCAATTTTGTAATTTTTCCACTATGGCAATTTTGTAATTTTAAAATGTAAATTGTTAAAAGTAAAGTTACAGCATATATTCGTCCCTCTGCTGGACATGAGATGACATGCCTCCACTCATTTCTGAGAGGGTTTTTAGGGCAGGAAAATGTCCGCCGCGTTGGGCGTTGTCCCAATGCGTGTTAGCGCACTTCGTCTTCGTAAATATTTTTTTTCCTTTTTTCTTAAACATGCAGGTTTCCTCAAGAAGTTTTCTTCACCGTCGAGCACGTGGTAAACCAGCACTTAAAATTGCAATTAACATATTCATTGGTGCCGGCGGGGATCGTACCCGGGTTGCTCCTCAGCTACCACGGCAATTGTAAGTTGTAACTTTGAACCCTGATGATGAGACTCCTATAAAAAAACTCCTTGATTATGACGATTTCTTAGTAAGGCAAATATGACACGACTGCCGAATTAACTATATCTCATATCATCAACACGCGTACTTGATTTCTCGTTGGTGTTGAGTTGAAGGTATCACAGCATAACTTAACTGATAACTATGTATAGAGGTATTTTAAAGTTAATTGCACTTGTCGGCTGGCGTAATAACACGATACAATAAGATAAACTTAACCTTCAGATCTATACTTGTAATTTCTTCTCGAGGAAGCAAATAAGAACTCAAATAGCTTAGCAAGATCCTCCGTTATACCGAAAATAGTGCAGCATTAATGTTGAAATAAATATATGATAAAGTTGAGGATTAATGCTAAGTACTATGTTAGACGAAAACATGATTCCGTAAAATTTTCTCGATAGAAAAAAAAAATCCAAAGTTACCTCCAAACTGAACAATAAACCGCTGTTATTCATAAAATACTTTAAATAAGATCATGAAACTTTGCATACTAACTGAACTAACTATAAAGCAAGGCTTATGTTTTTTATTTTTTTCAAATTCACTGTAAAAAGAAATTACCTAAACTATCGGCGTCCTGAAGCTTGTTCAACAAGCTTCCGACGCTCCTTTCGCTGCGATAATGGGAAGCATTCGAATTTTGCTTTTTTTTCATCGGTTGTGTTTTGTCTTGACATTTTTCGCAAGCGATGACGCAAATTAACTCATTTGCATTAGCCAACAGAACCGCTTATGCCTATAGAATATTTATTTCTAATTTTATTTTATTTCCAAAGTTGTACATAGTAAAAAAATAACACTGACTATAAACATAATAGGTAGGTATAATAATTTACGCAATTATGTTCAACAGCTATTTTGTTTTTACGTTTCAGAAGAGAATTATGTCACGCTATAAATCAGATGACTTCGAAGAAAACATTTTAGGTGATGAGGAAAATGTTTATATACCAAATATTTATGTAGATGAAAGATTAATTAAAAACAGTCGACTAAACATAGGTCATTTCATTGCGAAAAAGTCAAACCTATTTTCTGAAGAAACTAATACAATTTACGTAGTCAATGGAACTACGTTTTGCGAACGTAAGACGATAAACGAAGAAGTAATGGAATTTGCATTTGGTGAAGGATTTGAATTAAATAATCCGGAAACTAGTGACGAGATTTCATTCGCTTCCAATATGGAATTGCCAGAGGATAAAGGCGGTAAATAAATAATTGATGAAAATAATATGTAACGTTAATATTTTTATTTACCTATTTACTGTCGCATTGGCTACTAGGCCTTTAGCCAAAAAAATATATTAACATATTTTTTTTTCAAAATGTTTTGAATTTACTAGACTAACTGGAGCTTAAATCAACAAATAATCAACAACAAGAGTATCTTAAAGGTTTTATAACGGACTCAATGTCTGGGAATTTACCACTTTTGCTCCATTGTTGTTTTAATTGTTTTGTAAATAGTAATAATGCTATTGACATTACCAATATTACCGTTAAACCAGTCCAGGTGTGCTTAAAATGATTTTGTTATTAGTGGTTTACTACAGTAGTCGAATGTTGGATTCGAATCCAGGACCTATGAGTTCGCGGTCTGCACTACCATTAGACTAGTGGCATTTCATTCTATTGGAACACGTTTTATTTCCATTAATGGTTTGCATGCGTACACAAATCAGCGCCATATTTAAAACCAATTTAAACATTACAGGACCAAATAACCGACTTTCCGTGCGCGGTCTAGTTCCCACTCCATACCAAACCAAACTCCATAGATTTTTTAAATCACATTTCATAAATCACGTAGTTTGTCTATTTTATTTAAATGATACAATTTTTTTTTTCAGAAACTGCATCTCTTATCATGACAATTGAGAAAGCACCAAATGGCGTTATTGTAAATTCGAACGTATTTCTGACGCAACAACAGTGGCACACTATTGTGAATGTTGACGAGAGAACGGTTCAGTGTGCAGTGTGCGCCGTTTTTTGTAAAATCGACGAACAACATGATCACATACACTCCGAGAAGCATTTGAAAAATTTAGAAAGGCATTTGCCTCTGGATAAACATGATCTTTGTATAATGAGGAAGGTGCGTTAAAGTTCTTTTTTTTAAATTAAGTTGAAGAGAAAAATTAACTTAGAGGCCAACTTACGGTAAGTGGCCTCCTGCAACAAATTTCGAATAGAGAAGGCTGCTGTTGCGTTTTCACCTCTGTGGTCTAAGATGACAGCCTGCAATTATAGGTACTTGTTTCTTTAGGTATACCTTTAGACCGGAACACATTTTTTCGAACGCTATTTCCTACAGATAAAGGTAAGAGGGTGGAGGGTCTGCCCAGACGGACTCCCAGGAAAAAAGGGGTCCTATCCTATCCTGCGGTAGATCACCACCGGTTTTTATAATTTATATGAAAGGTAACTGGCTGGAAATAATTTCATTCTTGGATTTTTTTTTCAATCCGTTGATAGTGGTTGTTCTTGCAATTTCGTTTAGAGTTCTACATATTATATTTAATATAATTTATTTAAAGGATTAGTAAGCTGATATAGCAATGGGCCGGCCATACGGGTGGAGCCTCGTGTCGGTAGGCGAGGTGTAGGGTGGCCCGCCACTAGATAGAATGATGACCTGGTAAGACATGCAGGAAGTCGATAGATGCAGGTGACTCAGGACCGTACTTTGTGGCATTCTTGGGCGAGCCTATGCACCGTAGTGGACTTGTGAAGGCCTGTAATGATGGTGATGAATTTAACTTATCGCTATTTAAAATACCGGGTGCTTCAAAAAAATGTATACACACTTTGAACTTCCATAGAAAATTTATTTACCGTTCTACAAAGTTAAATTTCAGGAAAATAGAAAGCTGAAAGTCCAATGTAAATGAAACATAAATAACAAATGTTAATACTGTTCAAATTGGTGACCTGCAGCATCAATACAATTCTGAGTACGAGTCACCACAGATTCTGTACATCGTATCAAAACGTCCAATGAGATTTCTCTACACACTGCTTGAATCTCATTCCAAAGAATGTCTAGGTTACGTGGTTTACGTTTGTACACCTCATCTTTTACTGTGCCCCACAAGAAGAAATCCAGTGGTGTAAGGTCTGGAGAGCGTGCTGGAAACTCGATTGGCCCCCTGCGTCCTATCCACTGGCCCGACAAATTTTGATCCAGGTAAGCTCGTACGTCCCTGTGATAGTGCGGCGGAGCACCATCTTGTTGAAAATAAAAATCATCATTACCGTATAATGCACGAATGGCAGGAAATATGGAATCAGCAAGCATTGTTAGGTAATTAATACCAGTTACAGTGCCTTCAAAACGAAAAGGTCCAATGAGTCGCCTTGAAGACAAACCGCACCACACATTTATACCAGGCAAATTTACAGCTTTTTCAATTGTAATGTGAGGATTTTCTTCACCCCAGTAAACACAATTGTGCCTATTGACAGTTCCATTAAGTTTGAATTGGGCTTCATCCGACCAAATGATGCTACCCATAAATCCCGGTTCACGTATCCCGTATCACGTAATAACCTGCTTACGTTCTTCAAAACTCAAACGTACGTCCCCCATGTTGATATTACAAATTCCAACTGATAATATAACATAGAGGGACTATTATGCTGGCACCTGGCGAAGAAATATAACATTAGCCTTGTAGAGCGGAAAAACTACAATAGTTTAAAGTGTGTATACATTTTTTTGAAGCACTCTGTATATACATACTACCATCGTGTATTTATATTTATTTTAGACGGCTCCGTGGTGCAGTGGCTTAGCAATGAGTGGCTACGCTGGGGGTCGCGGGTTCGAATCCCGCACGGAACAAGTATTTATATGGCCTACAACTAATTGTTCCGGGTCTGGATGTTTGTCTTGTGCAATTTATATTTGTAAACTGGCCCCATGATACAGGAGAAAATCCTAGTGTAGGGGTAACGATTTTTTTTAAATAACCAACATAACTAACCAAAATATTTGTAATTTCACCTTTTATCATCCTATCCTTTTTTGATTATCGCTGAATCGCTCCTTATATATCTAACTCTGTTTAGCCAAGTGGTTGACAGGGGCAAAATGTCTTATGGCATTAAGTCCGCCATAAGATTTTTCCGGTTTTTCCATAATCGACTAAAATGGGTGATGGATTCATTACAAGTTGATTATCATTAGACTAGGGATCTATCGGTTACTACATAGGGAGTGTTCAATAATAACGTGAGGTGTTAAAGGGGGGCAGGGGTTCGAGCCGAATCTCATCCAATCTCACATGGTCTGACACAAATCTCACATATGGGAAAGGGAGGGTATCGCCTAATATCTTATAATTTTTAAATAAAATATGGCTAAATCCTACACAACGTTTATAACGGTTATCCGAGTTCTACAAAAAATATATAAAAATAATTAAACATTTTTTAAAAATCAACCAATTGCAATCAAACACAGTTTACTACACTAAAAATTTGCATTTAAAAAATCTCACGTGAGATTTGGGAAGGTGAGGAGGTCAAGCCATGTCTTACGACATCTCGTCAGAGAGGGGTGGAGGGTAGAAAAGTCGCCGAAATCACTTCACGTCATTAATAGACGCCATACATACATAAATACATGAACTATAACGCCTGTCACCCAAGTGGCTAGGCAGAAACTACGGACTTCCTTTTGAAACGATCCCGACACACATTTTCCGAAAGACCTTTCCGACGACCGACATTTTCCGCCTCATTCGCGTCTATACCGTCGCATGCATGCTAGTTGGTTTAGAGTACTCTTAACTCGTCCTATCTTCATTATATAGCCATTATGGTCGATAAACTTCCGTCTAGGGTGTTCCTTGCCGGTTACTAGAGTATGAAATTCAAGGGCTTCAGTAGTGCTAACAGGCAGTAAGCATTGAAAATGTTTATGGCAATTTTTAAATAATAGGAAACATTGCATACCTAAATTTTTCGGGATGATGTCCGTCGACTTGTAATGCGGCCTCACAATCTCTTCCCTGTATCAAAATCGCCTCAGAAATGAGAGGAGACCCTACCCAATGATATTTTATAGAAACGTTACAGACATACAAAATCACCGAATAAAATGTTCCAAACCCAGCCAAGCGGCAGTATCACATACGTACACATTTTAATTTTCTCTACATTGTCATGGCCGGCCGCCGTCTATTTCTGTCATTTTCTTAAAGCTTACGTAATAATAGCGTCGTATTTGTTAGCCAAAGGATTAAATATAATAAAATCTGCTTACTTACGTTGTAATATGGAATATCATATAGTTTTTTTATAGAAGAGGGGGCAAACGAGCATGCGCCTCACCTGATGGAAAGTGACGGTTGCCGGCCTTTGAAGGATTAAGTTCTTTTCTTGAAGGCTCCAAATCGTGTTGGTCCGAAGAAATCGCCGGTGGTGTGGAAGGTATCGTGAATTTTGCCACATCCCATCCCATCCATTCCCTTCTCTGGGCCGGGGATGGCCCCGATGGGATCCCCAATTTTCTTCATTTCTGTCATTCCACATTCACATACCTTCCTACCACCGGCGATTTCTTCGGACCAACACGATTTGGGAATAGTATTCCATATGCGGCCGAACCTGCGTCTTGTAAAGTTGCAGGCGGTGTGCCGGCATGAAATACTGTCCCGCTCTGCTGAGCACGCCAAGCTTTGTGGAGATCAATTTGGCCTTCACAAAACTGTATATACTTCGATATGTTGATTGATGCAGGGTTCCGATACTGGCTGAGACAAAAGGAGAATGGGGTTCATTTAACCAGTAAACGCGCAAACTTGTGTCTTCTGGGGATTGAACTGGACTAAATTTAGTCACCCCCAATCCGAGACTTTGTTCAACAAATTCTAGACTTTAGACACAAGTTTGTTACGGTACTCGGCGAAGTTTTTCCTTAGAAATGTTGGTACGGTCAGTGTATGAAGCATCAACAGTGCTGTCGTCCACATAGCAATGCGTGTTACCGGTTTGCAACACATCATTGATATGCAGAAGAAACAGTGGTGATGTCACGTAGCCTTGTAGAACACCAGCGTTAATAGGCATTGCAATCGGAGCATGCACCGTCTACTACGACCTTGATGCTCCGATCAAACAGAAAACTGGTGATCCAATTGCACAATTTCTGGGGAAGCCCATAAGAAGGAAGCTTTGAGAGAAGCGCTTTGTACCAAACACGATCGAAGGCCTATGCTATGTCCCAACTAACCCCCAAACCGCCTCTCCCTTGGACTCGATCGTCTGAACCCATCGGTGTAATAGATAAACAAGAAGATGACCCCGAGCCCACCGTATTGTCAGTCACTAATCAGCTGGTGCTCCTCAAAGTACTGCATGAGTTGACTGTTAATAATGCACTCCATTAGTTCCATTAGTCCCAGGGAGAGGAGTACTTTACGTACTAAGCACTGTGTGAATCGCACATCAGGCATAGAACATTGGTACGGCGGGACAGTTGGCGATGTGTTCCCCTTACCCTATCATCAAGAGTCGAGTTGGACGCAAAAAGAGAGCCTAAAAATCGGTGTTATCTTTTGCGGCGTGGGCCATAGAGTTGTCGGAAATTCTCTTGGACAACCTTGGCGAGAGACCAGAATGCACGGGTTCCCGAAGGAAAGAAACAGAAACAGATTTTTTTTATTCAATGTAGATTATAAGTTATAACAATACTTATTGAAAGTCACTTTTTTCATTTACCACTGGTTCGCAAAAAAACCTCTGTCCTGGGAAGAACCAGCAAGAAACCCAGCGGGACTATTTTTTTTCCAATAATAGGTTACAATAATGTTTACAATAAACAACACAAGACAAATTAGAAATAGCTTGGTAGCGATCACCCTTCCCAGGGGTTATTATCACCCATAAATTCCTTAATATTATAATAACCCTTTTTATATAAACTTAGTTTAATAACATTTTTGACCTTCGTGAATGACAAATTTTATATATTTTCTGGGATTTTGTTGTAAAAACGTATACATCGCCCCAAAAATGAACGCGAACTAATTCTGCCAATGTGCTTATACTTTGCCTTGGTAATAACTCTTTTGAAGGACCTGGAGGCGATATTATGCTTCTCTTTAAGCTTGCCGTTGTTTACATCCCTAGCCACCGAGGCGTAAGCCCAGGCCTGATTACTGCTTACTGCGTAATGCAGCCTTACAGGAACGATCTAACCAAGGTTGGAATCTGCCTCCGATGGGTATCTGCCACAGATGATGGAAAAAATAGTTCCATTCCCTGAAGGAACACATCAGTGACAGAGTCTGTAACAGCGCTGGGATCCAGCGAGAAGTAATCCCATGGGTAGGATGCAAAGAGAGACCACATTACATCCCAATTCATCGAACTGTATTACCAAACACGGCGGCAGCGTGCAGAACCCAACCGTGAAGGGAGTGTGAGTGGCACCACACTCCGGTTCGAGGTCCGAGGATCCAAGAGGGGCGTCGACGGAGACGGAAAAAAAAAAAACCAGAGGAAAAAAATAAAAAAAAGACAGCAGGTTCGAACCTTCAAGACTGCCGAGGCGTCGAGAACAGATGTCCTCTCTGCAAACGCAAACCCCAACCCGAGGCACAAAGGAGTGTTCCAATTTATACCCCGGGTAGGAGAGATACAAAGTATCAGGCGGAGAGGACACCTTCGTCGCTTTCAGAAAGAGCAAGGCCGATTCGCCGTCTCCAGATAGGTTCAAGTGGAGCCCTCTGATGCTTGCTAGCTTGGCAGATGTCGCCTTAGTCTTTTTGCTCAGTTTGCCCCGAGCAGTTTTTGTCCTGATCGAAATTTTGCCCCCCCCCCCCCCCCTCATAATACTCTGGGCAGCCTTAGCACCCACGCTCAGGCCCAGCTACATATCATTGACCCTACCTAGCATTGGAACATGTTATAGATATTACTGAACTATTTTTTAATGTCAATAAACTCTTGAAACCATTTTAACGTTGAAACATTAAACAAATTTAAGTCAGAAGAGTAAAAGTCGGAAAACCAACTTTCGTTTTTAAAAACTTAAGGCATGTCACAAATTGGACATTATCCTCATGCAAATCTATATTAACCTGCGGTACCTATAACAGTTCGGGAAGTCTAATAAAATACACATGCTTGAATTAGAAAGAGCTCAGTAAATGATCTTGAAGGTTGCACGTTTTAAGTCAAAACTTTCTCAACTACTGATTTATTAAGGGAAGCTAATGTGTTTACAGTATGCACCGAAATTATATATATTGTCTACAATATTTTTTTAAAAACACTAGCACTGTTTTCCAATTTTTTATTTTGTTTTTTAATTAAAATGTTAATTATTAAAAACTGCGGTTTCCAGCCCGCTTGCCAATCGAAGTAACTATGGTAAGTATTTTGAAGGATATGGCTATGGTATAGATATAGTATGGGTATGTACTAGAGATGGGCCGAATATTCGTTTCATATTCGGTATTCGGCATATTCGGCAGTTTTACCGAATATTCGTATTCGGCTAAATCACCGAACACTCCTAAGAGTGGTACTCAAAGTGTTCACTGTGTTGAAATGTACGAATTTAGTAATACACGAATTTAATAAAAAAATATATTTTATATTTTACGGGTTTAATCCACTTGTATAGCGTTATGTTTTTGAGGCACTGTAGATTTATTTCCAATAATATAGCAAATATAAAGCTTGATAAAATGTTTTCGGAATCAAAGAAAGAAAAATTAAATAAGTACCTAAATTTCACTTACTTTGGTCGTCAGTTTCACTAAAATAATTCCAAATAGTAGATCTCCTGTCCTTGATTTTTATCATATAATTATCAATTTTCACTAAGAATAACACAACGAAATACTTTTTTTTTACAATATTAGTCTAAACATAAGAGTGTGCCGGCAATTTGCTCAGTACTAGATGATGAGTGAGGGGCAGGATGCGGCGCTAATCCCGCTCGCTTTACGGTAACAAGTTGCGACATAAATTGGTTAGTACTAGGTGACCCAACCGAATAATGTTTGGCCGAATATTAGGTTCGGTTACAGTTTTACCGAACTTTCGGCCGAATATTCGTATTCGGTGAAATCCATATTCGGCCCACCTCTAGTAATTTCTGTGATAAGCTCCGCGTTAATACAACTTTTTTTCTTCAGATAAACGACAAATATCACTGCGGAGTGTGCAGTGAACTTTTTGACATTGATAATTTAAACGAACATTTCTCTACGAAATCCCACGAAGACAAACTACTGTTCGCCATCAACAGAGTCTCTGACATCATGTATGATCTAGATATATATAATGACAGGATAGAGAAAGAGGAATGCTACCATTTCAATGCAAGATCAGTCAACAATATGAATCATGTTAAAGAAGATATTTCAGATGATGAAAGCTCCGAAGGGTTTTATGATGATTACTGGACAGAGAAACGACATTCCCCGGACTACGAAAACCAAAGCACAGATGAATGTGTATCGGAAATAGGGGAAGAAATACCTAAGCAATCCTCATATGCTACCATGGCTAGAAAACCAAGGTCGATGCCGAAGTTTCTAGAAATGCAAATACGCGGGAAGAAAGTGAGGGTGCGCTTTGATTCATGGCATATGGTTTTCAATACGAAATTTAATAAATTCTACTGTATGGTATGCAAATTAGAAGACCACAACAAGTCGAAGTTTATCCATTGTAACGGTGATAAACATTTAGAAAGATTGAAAAACTGTACTATAGTGGAAAAATACGATGGCTATCTGGTTAGAAAGGTAGGTTTTGCTTTCTTTGTTATTTTAGTATGTCTTAACATTCGATCCGTGACTTTATTATAGCCTTAATTTTATGATAACCATTTATACAATCCTCGTTTAATAAAGTTGAAACTTCGGGGAGGACAAATTCTGTTGTTTTTCGGGATTTTGTTGTAAAAGCGTATAAATTAACCCAAGAATGAATTACTGACTCGGTGGAGTCGAGTAACTGGTACTACTAGCTTGTGTCTGCTCCTAGTATTCACAGAGTGAATATCACTTTTTTTTAACTTTATAGCTTTATAAATTACTTAGTATATTAACATTTTTGTAAATGCCTAAGTTAATATATGTATTGATTCTTTTAATGTTGTGTCTTAAATACTTTAGAACTTTATATTTTAAACCATAGATGGCTAAAAGGAGTTTTATTAATCGTAATCATCACTATCCTCATTATTACATCATTTTATAATTAGTCCACTACCGAACATAGGCCATTACGGAAGACTGATTAATTTACCGTAATATTTTTTTTAAATTGCGGTAAGGAGGACAAACAAGTAAACAGTTCACCTGATGACTGACCTCGATAAAAATTAAAATGCAGACGTATTGTCACCTTGTTTTTAACAACGTTATCTCCACAATAGAATTTTCTCTTGTATTTGGGGGCAATTTTAATACATAAATTTCACAAGGACTGGCATACACACTAGGCGTATGTAACTCTTTACGGAACCGACTCACTGATCCTAATCACTGTAGTGCTTCTAAAGATTGGTTCAGTAACAACGTTTCAAATGTATCATTTGGGTCCGGAACATTAATTTGCTCGGGAGGGGACTGAGCCGCGAGCGGGAAAGTAGCGAGTGAGCGGACGAAATAATTACAATCTATACAAGTCAGAAAGAGATAACGAATGAGAAGTGTGTCAGTCAGATTTTCGTTATAGTTATTCATGAACGTAACGTATACGGCCGTTTTTTTGCATATAATGTTTGCATTAACAAGTTGTCAATTTACGTTGATCCGGCACTTATTATATTGTTTATGTTCGTTTGCGCCTGTTTACGAAAACACTGAGTTCTGTTTAGGATTTCTTCGCGTGACTTACTTTCTTCCTTTTCATTATAAATAATACGCCAGCTGGCCAAATTAAGGACTAGCCGCCAGTCCTAAGCCTGTATAAAGTATGAAGGAGAATCGATTTTATATACAACCTTATTACGGTACACAATAAGTAACAATAAAAATAACTATATAATATATAATAAAAATAACCTAAGCACTTATATCATTCAGCATTGTTGCCACATTACATTTCATTGAATCAGTCAGTAACAAACGCCCGCGATGCAACTTAATGTATTCGTAACATTCTGTGTTTTATATCTTTTGAGTTGATGATCCAAATGAGCCAAATGAAACATATCAGTGTTTCGGAACATTTCAGTGATCGAGATGCAAACGTTCCAATCACAAAAATGTTACGCTTTGCCCACCTTCAATCCAGACCCGGCGCAATTATTTGTAAGTCATACAAATACTTGTTCCGTGCGGGGTTCGAACCCGAGATGATTACCGTTGCCACTCATTGCTAACATTGCTAAGCCATTGCGCCACGGAGTCGTCATAACCTCAAATTCTTTACGTGATAGAGGTGTAGGTTGTAGCACGAAAGGGTCGGCTCGACCAGTGAAAGACCACGCTCACGGAATACCAGCATAAAATAGCAACTTAATGCTGCTGTATTGTGTATGGTGTGTAGAGTAGCGAAGCGGAGACCCTTTTTACTGGAAATGAGTAATTCCATCTTAAGCCTCAGGAGCGACAACGCATCTGCATTTTGATTTTTAAATCGAAGATAGATGTTGATTGTTGATGTCTACGGTCCACAGTACTCACTTGCTATCAGGTGGACTGTGTATTTCACAGACCTTATCCTATAAAAGAAATATGGAATGCGTCATCACTTAATATAAAAATAAATTAATCCAAAAATTAATAAAATGCTCTCCGAAAGAGACATTATTAAAACATATTGTCGCATATTTTTGTTAATAGATTTTTACGTATGATTTATTTGATTTGTTTGTTGCTGGTATTGTTTATTTTTTAGTTTAATAATTTCTAAATATTATGAAATTGTAGTAGGTAACTTTGATATAACTATCTTAAATTTGTAAGTAATTGTATTTGTATATAGGCGATGGTGCATAATAATATATAGTTTTAAGAGCGTGTACTCGCCGACAAACTGATTGCAGTTTGGCGAGAGAACAGTAAAAATTATTTATTTATTTATTTTTATTTATTTATTTATTATACAATTATAACATCATTACAGTTATTAAACCAATGCGATGCTATAACTAACCCAAATATAAGAAAACTACTGACTAATAAATAATGGTATCTAGTATGAAATCTATCAAATTGATGGTAAAATAAAATACCAATTAAAAACATTACAATTTTCGACGCATTTGTAACCTGCAATCATGAATTTCGTCTCACTACATGCAAATATGTCAATATCCTGTGAGATGATATTAACATAGTGCATTCTTAAGCAACTTCGCCCTAGCAGCGGCCACGAGGAGTAATAGGGGCGACGACGAGAACACACGTAATTATTAAGCACCCGCAGCTTTAACGCAGCGAGCACATCTGGGTGATATATCCATCCACGTAATACTTCCCACACATATTTAATAAGCGTGATGTCTCTTCTCACACTGCGGCTGTAACCAGCCATCCCCAGTACAAACAGACTCGGATACATCAGTGGTAAACAAGGATAGATTCCGTCCTGCTTAAAATATAAAAATAATATATAATGTACTTACCTTTGTGTGAATAAATAAATTTAAAAAAAAAAAAAAACTTATAAGAATGGTGTTACCATACGCGACACAGCAAGACTACGCTGCAGTTTATAGCTAGTGATCTGCGAGCGTGCTGCTTTCCGATCATTACCTAAAATTGTTTTTTCATTGGCCGTTACAATAAGGTCGGGGCACTGTAGTGTATAGAGTGACCATTATTGCTTTTTCGTTGATGGACACGACACCGATACGACACATAACATGTCGCCGAGTCGTCCGCTCCCCACAGAATCGTCCGGATGCACACTGGTTTTTATATTTTTTGACACGTGAATATAGAAAATTGTCGAAAAATTTAGTATTCGTTCGAAAATTCTTGTATCTTCTCGAATAATGTACGATAAGCTACGTTAACCGGTCCCGCTTTAATCATTAGATACAACTAAACTGTTAAACCATTTTCCTTAAATATATAATCTCTATTAATCTTTTGTCTCTAATATTAGTCGGCCAATGAAAAAAAACTCACATCACAAGGTCAAGGTAACAACTAGAACGTCGCCTAAACATTACATAAAATTTCATCCCTTATTCTTCTTCCATCCTTAGGGAGTAAATATTTTCGTGAAATATATAATATGAAACCGCTTTATGGTTCTATTTAAAAGAAAAGTATTATTAAACAGTTTCTCTGTCCGCACAATGGCCATAACAGTTAAACAATTGAAATGTTGCTAGTGACAAAAAAGCCGTGAATTGCCCCATTGATTGATCGCGAATCAAGAGGTATTGAAATAAATAGAAAAAAAATTTCATAACGAAAGTATGACCCATGTAAAAAAATTAATTAAAGAATAAATCCAAAACTATATACGTCTGCAATTTTTCAGGTTGACCACAAATTGTATCACTGTGCACACTGTAATAACCTACAATTAATAGATGTCATGAACGACCATCTAGAAACTGCACATCCACGGAAAACTAACAAGAACATAACAGAAGGTTATAGAAACACACCGCCATTAACCAAAATTAATAAAAATGAAAAACGGAACGCAGTGAAACCGGAACAAACTACAAAAAATGGCAATAATGAAACAAAATCATTTGCCCATGTAACAGACCATAACAGAAACAATTTAGTGTATTACTCTAATCGCATCGAATATAAAATGAAGGAACTCAATATTTTCTGCATGAAATTCACTCTGTCACTTTTGTCATATAATATGGTGCTGAGTTTAAATGGATTTCATTGCTGCGCCTGTGAATTATCTTCGGATGCTGAAGAAATCGCGAGGCATATTGAGGATGTACACCATGTAGAAAATTTAATGAGAACCCCCTTTCTATATGAGTTTAACTACAATTTAATAAGAGCGGTATGTATGTATTATATTTTTTTTCATAGGATAGGATGACAAACGAGCACACAGTTGATGAACCTGATGGTAAGTGGTTGCTGTGGCCCATAGACATCTGCATCTATCTTCTGTTACGAATCAAAATGCAGATGCGTTGTCACCCGTGACGACTAAGCTGGAATGCCTCGTTTCGAGTAAAAAGGGTCTCCGGTTCTCTACACTCACCATACTGAACACAGCAGCATTAAGCTATTATTTGACGCCGGTATTCTCTGAGAGCGTGGTCTTTCCCCGGTCGAGCCGACCCATTCGCGCTACAACTATACTACTAATATAACTGCAACATGGCTCTACCACGTATATCTTCTATTTATAATTTTAGTACTCCCATCATCACTACAGTTATGTGTAACTGTCGTCTGATTAAAGATTAATGTATTTGATTTTCCTTTTTGCACACTACTAGTATCGGGGACAAGGAAAATGGGGTGACAGTTAATTTTTAACAATAGTAATACATACCTTCATCATCATCATCATCATCATCATCATTACAGCCCTTCACAAGTCCACTGCTGAACATAGGCCTCCCCAAGTAATGCCACAAAGCACGGTCCTGAGCCACCTGCATCCATCGACTTCCTGCATGTCTTACCAGGTCGTCACTCCATCTAGTGGGGGGTCGCCCTACACTACGCCTACCGGTACGAGGCTGCCACTCGAGAACCTTTCTTCCCCATCGGTTATCGGTTCTTCGAGCTATATGGCCGGCCCATTGCCACTTCAGCTTACTAATCCGTTGGGCTATGTCGGTCTCTCTGGTTTTACTGCGGATATCCTCATTTCTGAGTCTATCACGCAGAGAAACTCCGAGCATAGCCCTCTCCATAGCTCGCTGAGCGACCTTGAGCGTCCCCATACGGCCAGCAGTGAAGGACCACGTGGTTGTACACTTTAGTTTTCAGAGATTGAGGTATACCTTAATTAAATAATTTCCCGAACGCTGCCCAGCCGAGTTGAATCCGTCGATTTACATCTCGGTGGAAGTTGGACTTACCTAGTCGGACTATTTGTCCCAGGTAAACGTACTCGTCCACAACTTCGAGCATAGTGCTCCCAACAACTACCGGCATAGGTGTGACATTGACTTTAAACATGATCTTTGTTTTGTCCATGTTCATCTTAAGACCTATCTGTTGGGAGACACCATTGAGGTCATTGAGCATAGTGCTAAGGTCCTCCAGCGATTCTGCCATAAGGACTATATCGTCGGCAAATCGAAGGTGAGTGATGTACTCGCCATGGATGTTAATACCGTATCCTTTCCAGTCCAGTAGCTTGAAAACGTCTTTCAACGCAGCGGTGAAGAGTTTCGGGGATATAAGTCACCCTGTCTTACACCTCTCTGCAGTTGGATAGGTTTCGAACTCTGGTTCTGTACTCGGATAGCCATCGTAGCACTACTATACAAACACTTCAGCACTTCGATATACCGACAGTCAACTTGGCACCGCTGAAGGGACTGTAGCACCGCCCAAATTTCGACGGAATCAAAGGCTTTCTCAACCACATACGCCACATACGCCAGGCAATGGGGGTGCTAAGAATCTCCGGTGGAGGTTCGGTTGCCACCTACGACTACTCGACCTGGCAACATATAACGCACGCACCCTGAGCACTGACGGGAAGAAGAGGTAGACAAGTTGCCCTGGCATATTATTGGATTATCCGAGGTCCGAAGAGAGGGGGAGGACACGGTAATCCTCGAATCCGGCAACTTGTTCTGTCACCGGGAGGGCGACCATCTGTCCCAAGGAGGTAGCGGGTTTATCGTCCACAAGTCTCTCGTCAATAACGTTGTAAAGATTGGGAGTGTGTCGAGGAGGGTCGCGTACCTGATACTCAGAATCACCAAACGGTATTCGCTGAAGGTCATACAGGTTTACGCACTAACCTCGGCACATCCCGATGAGGAGGTGGAGGAAATGTATGAGGATATTTTCAGAGCCATGCATTCCTCCAAAACCCACTACACGGTGTTGATGGGAGACTTCAACGCAAAACTAGGCAAAAGAGAAAACGGTGAGCTGAAGTTAGGTAAATTTGGAGTAGGACAACGGAACCGAAGGGGCCAGCAGCTGGCCGACTTTATGGAGAAAGAGGGACTCTTTATGATGAACTCTTTCTTCCGGAAGCGGCCCCACAGAAAGTGGGCCTGGTCGAGCCCCGACGGTTCGACAAAAAATGAGATTGACTTCATTATAACGACCAGGCGCCAACTGTTCAGTGATGTCTCATTGATCGCAAGGGTGAAAACTGGCAGCGATCACCGAATGGTTAGAGGCACACTGAACCTAAACGTCAAGTTGGAGAGGTCTCGTCTAATGAAGTCAACGCTCCGTCCCCCTCGTGCTCTGATCCAGAATCCCGAAACTTTCAGCTCTAGTTACGTAACCGATTTCAGTGCCTAGAACATTGCAATGCAGTGGACGATATGAATGACAAGCTCGTGGAAACTGTCCATGCGGTTGGAGCTAAGTTCTGCAAGACCCGCCGCAGAAGAACACAAAAACTCTTCGATCACACTCTTAATCTCATGGTTTTTAGACGGGAGATGAGGCTGCAATCGTCAACAGATTTGACAGCATACAGGCAACCGAACAGACAGATCTCCAAGTGCATGCGGCGAGACTTGCGCAACTTCAATACTGTATGGAAGAAGCGATCGAGCGGAACCAGGGCTCCAAAGTCTTTGCCAGAGATCTGTCTGCCAGAAAGAGCCAACTGTCAAAGCTGAAGACCGAATGTGGCAGCATCGTTTCCGGGTCACCTGAGATTTTGAGTGAGATTGAGAGGTTCTATGGGCAGCTGTACACATCATCGTTGGAGCCACACGCAAGTGTGAGTAACGATCCAAGAGCAAGTCTTATCCCACACTATTCCGATGATATCCCGGACATCAGTCTGAGCGAGATTAGAATGGCTCTCCAGCACCTTAAAAACGGCAGGGCCCCAGGCGAGGATGGAATTACAGCGGAGCTTCTGAAAGCGGGTGGAACACCGGTACTTGAAGTCCTTCAGAAGCTCTTTAATTCCGTCCTCCATGGTGGCACTACTCCGGAGGCGTGGAGCAGAAGTGCGGTGGTCTTCTTTAAGGAAGGCGACAACGCTCTCTTGAAGAACTACAGACCGATTTCCCTTCTGAGCCGCGTCTACGTGCTGAGCTTTCGAGAGTCATTACGAATCGTCTCGCACGCAGACTCGACGACTTCCAGCCACCCGAACAAGCCGGTTTCCGAAAAGGCTTCAGTCTTCACGGCACCTACCTTTTCATAACCAATCATCAATAATCAGCGTGACGTATAGTGGTAGTGTAAAAATATACACCACCCCTATATCGTCTCGTGGGTATTGTTAGAGGTGACAGAGAGAAAGAAATCACGTGATGGCAGCAGCATCTTCGTAATAAGGACAAATATAAAAGACTCACCTGCCAATCGTAGCAGCTATGGAAAATCTTCCCCTTAAGAAATAATCTATGGGAAAACGTTCAGCCGTGGACGTAAGATTGCTGCAATTAATGGTTAGATACTTTGATGAACAATAAAAGTAAAAAAGTTACAGCCTATATACGTCCCACTGCTGGGCACAGGCCTCCGCTCATTTCTGAGAAAGTTTTAGGGCAAGGAATTGTCCGCTACGCTGCCCCAATGCGTGTTGGCGAACTTCACATGTCCTTGAAATATTTTTTTTCTTATTTCTCGATTATGCAGGTTTCCTCACGATGTTTTCCTTCACCGCCGAGCACGTGGTAAAGCAGCATTTAAAATTGCAATTAACAATTTCATTGGTGCCGGCGGGGATCGAACCCGGTTTTCTCGCGTACTGTGAAATTTACAGCGAGCGCTAACCATCTGAGTTACCACGGCTCTTGATGAACAATATTCTGTTATAAATTTCAGATACGTAATGGTTTGCATTGTTCCATATGTAACATTCCCGTATCTTACGGATTGATAAACGCACATATTGTGGACCCAGTCCACGTCGGTCTTTTAAACAAGGCCATTACATTATCACCAGCTACACAGTTAATCAAAGACCCTGTAGAAAATCAACCGTCTACAAGCAGGAAACCAAGCTTAAAAACTCAAGGTCATGACAATCAATTTAGTATACTTGGCGAGGATAGGCGAAATCGTACAGAAAATGATTCGGAGGATATTGTCGAAGCTGCTGATTTTGTATTAGAAGGAAATATAAAAACTCAAGGTCATGACAATCAATTCAGTATACTTGGCGAGAATACGCAAAATAATACAGAAAATGATTCGGAGAATATTGTCCAAGCCACTGATGTTGTGCTAGAAGAAAATAAAGAAGAAATTCAAAAGGGAACAGCAAAAAAAGTCACAGCCAATGCTTGTATAGAGAATGCAAATAAAATTGATACAGAAGACGAAGAAAATACACTGATGGACACGGAAGAATTTGTGTATTTGAAACTTAATAATATTTTTATTAGAGTGTCAATAACTTCTTACAACACGTTAATACAAATCGGCGACGGATCTAGATACTGTTTTCTTTGTTCTACGTCGGTCCAGTTCGAAAAACTTAAGAAGCACGTGGACAGTCGCCAGCATACAGAGAATGTTTGCAAATATAAGTTCGTGGACAAATATTCAAAACATGTACTCCGTCAGGTAAGTTTATTTTAGTTTTTATAAGATTGTTGTGATCGATGACCAGGCAAACTAAAACAACAAGAACAAGTCGCCGATCCTTTAGAAACTTCAGCTCAAGTGGAACCCACAGACCGATAGTTTCTACCTCCTCTTAATTTTGATAAACAATTGACTGCCTATTTGGTCTAGTGGTTGTAGTAGTCCTATAGATTCGAATCCCGGGTCGGGCCAAAAATTAATTATTGAGTTTTTCCGTCAAGAAATTCTCAGTAGTTACCCGGAGTCAGGAAGTTGGCGGTGTCTCACCCCGTGCCTCGGAAAGCACGTAAAGCCCGTTGGTCCTGCGCCTGATGTCTCTCCGGTCGTGTCGGTTTACCTTCCCATCGGATTATGAGAGTGAGGGAATAGAGAGTGCACCTGTGCTTGCGCATACACTTGGGCACTATAATTCTGTCCTGTGCCGATGGCTAGTCTCCGTTGAGGCAGGCCGCCGTGGCCGGAATTCGGGCTGGAGGACATTATTTGATATACATACAATATTTAATATGCTTGTGAGCGAGTACATTAACGGCTCTGTAACACAGTGTCCGTTCGTATAGCTAAAGTTTACAATACTACGACTATTCGGATAACGAATTCGTTTCTCACATCATACATGTACTTGTATGTAGTTAATGAAAATTCAAGAATGGCGTTCAACAAGGCAGTATACTAGCACCTCTACTTTTTGTTTATACTAATGACGCCATAGCTTTAATCCAAGATTAGAAATTATAACTAATTACTTTTATTTACAGGTTTATTTAAACTACCACTGTGGCATGTGCAATGTTTCCTTTCCAAGCCAAGATTTAAACACACACTTGTCTTGGCCCGTGCATTTACAACAAAGCCAAAACTGTCGAAAAATCGACAAGAAAACTAGAAAATTAGAAGCAAAGAACGGAATCAAGCAGATTAACATATCTTTACAGAAGGAAACTATATATTTAGAAAAAGTAGAATCAAAAATTGAAATCGTTCTGAACTTAGAGTTTGCGCAAGATATGCAAAATCAAGTTTTCAGAAAAAGCAAAATGGTCTTTTGCAGTGGAAATGTGTTGAAGATTAGCTGGGATAGCTGGCACGGGTTTGTCAAGACAAAGTCTGGACACAGGTGTTGCTTGTGTCAGGAGGACCTGAACATGCACGATTTATCATTACATGCTGATAATGCATTCCATGTGAAGAAATTGGAGAAAAGTTTCCTGAAGCAGTACATACCAGCTTTGATAAGGAAGGTGAGACTGTGTTACTACCTACTTATGTGGTAAAACCACGCTGCAGCATATTATGGTTACAGCATGAATGGACGGCTCAACCGGTAAAGGATCACGATCTCACAGAATAGTAGCGTGAAATATCAGCTCAAGCCTGCTGTGTATCGTATTGTGAGTGTAGACAACCGGAGACCCTTTACTGGAAACGAAGCATTCCATTTAAGCCCTCAGGGGTGACAAAGCATCTGCATTTTGATTATTAATTGAGTATAAATGTAAATGTCTATGTCACCTTTATTTTATAAAAAGAAAAACCTATATACTGTCGCAGACCCTGGGTTTGAACCACAGGTGAAACTAAATTTTTTTATAGGATAGAGTGACAAACGAGCACGCAGTCCACCTGACGGTAAGTGGTTGCTGCGGCCTATAGACACACTCACCATACAAAACCCAGCAGCATTAAGCTGCTATTTTACGCCGGTATTCTGTGAGAGCGTGGTCCTTCCTTGGTCGAGCCGACCAATTAGTGCTACAACTATATTACTAACATACTGCAGCATGGCTCTACCACGGATAAATAATAAGAATATTTGTTTGCACAAACAAATAAAAAACAAATAAAATTAGAGAATTTGTGTATTTGTATACACAAATTCTCTAATTTTATTTGTTATAACTTATAACTATATTTGGATTAAGTTTGTTTGTTATAGGTTTGTTATTGAGTGAGTTTTTATTTTTTATTTCGTTTTAACGTGTTTATGTCTATGTTTGTTTGTTCGTAGATTCAATTAAGGTTAGGGTTGCCACCTTTTTTTAAAACAATTATAGTATTTTTTCCAAAAAAGATGCAAATATACTTTTGAGAAATTTAGAGAAAAAAATTACGCATTTACTTTTAATATTTATGTATTTTTTCCATATATATTTGTTTTAGCTCTTTGCTTTGGAGTCTGAGCAATTTAGATTCATATTAAAATAAATTAACAATTAATAATTAATTAAATTATTACATCCTCTATTTCTTTGTTCTATATTTTTCAAATGAACTGTCAGTATCTACGTGTACTCGTAAATAGACATGCGTTAACGGAAATGGGCAGCACGCCGGTAACGTTTTCTATTTACTATTAATTTCCGTTACACCCTTTGAACCATAAACAACTTTTCCTTTTGAATAATCCGGCCCTGGCTAGTTGTCTTTTTGACTAACGTCTTTTTAATGGTGTAACTAGCGACTCGCCTTGGTTAGAATCTATTAATGTGTCGTTATTTGAAGTAACGATAGTCAAAGATTATTTATTTCTTAAATTTTTCGATTTTTCAAAAAAAAAATTTTTTTTTTGGTTAAATTACAGCCTTGATTACTCCTGACGTTGCTCTCTATCTGTTTGTCAAGTTCAGTTACAAATGGTTCAGCAGTTCCGTAGATTAGCGCGGACTGACAGACGCAAAACCAAAAGTTTAAAAATATTTATTCATGTCATAGTTTATTCTTACGTGGTAGAGCCACGCTGAAGCTATATTATGGTTGTAGTACGAATGAATCGGCTCGACTGGGAAAGGTCCACGCTCTCACAGAATACCAGCGTAAAATAGCAGCTTGAGGTGCATGTTTGAGCAAAATGACGGGCTAGTAGGTATTTATGAGGTTTTTGGGAGCTATCTACTTGTTATCAAAAAGATATAACCTATAAAAATTTATTACATTTCTACATAATCCTGATTTCATAATAGCCAATTCCAATTTTTTTTAAGAGGAGTAAATGCTTGATGAATCTATCTACAACTTAACCACAGAAATGCGAAAACACAAGAACCACAGAAAAAACACGCAGCTCCTCATAAAGTAGGCATTATTTTATTTTGCGATTGACGAAGGATTATAAATCGGTTTTTTAAAGAAAATATTTTAAAATTTGGGCGTATTTCTTACGCGATATATTGTAGCGAGAGCGCGTGGAATGTATAGGACCGAACGCTCAAGGTCGTTTGCTAGGAGTAGCGCCTTAATACTGCTTTGTTTCGTATGGTGAGCGTAGAGATCCGAGAACCTTTTTTATAGTCCTCAGGGGTGACAACGCATCTGCGTTTTGATTCTTAACAGACAGATATGAGGCAATCTATGGGGGAGGCCTATGTTCAGCTGTGCACTATAATAGGCTGTAATGGTATAGGTTATTTTATAAATAATATTTTTTTAATATTCGACAGATCAACGAAACAACCCTTAATTGTGTAACCTGCAACGCTGAAGTCTTCAACAAAGACCACATTATCTTCGAGCACCTGAGAGGAAAGAAACACGAGAAAAATTACGAAATAATAGTGCAGGATAGCGCGCAAGCCAGTACCTTCGCTGATTGCGATGAAGAAGTGTTTACATTGGAGTAAGATATGATCCAAGAATGAGTAACATTTAAAGTGTTTTATAGAGTACTTGAAATAGACGTAAGATGGCAAATGGCGGGAAAACGCCATATATTTATTATCTGTGTTTTAACGTTAAATATCTTTAGTAAAGGAAAGAAAATAATTATATTTACTCTCCCTTACTATCAAATATTACTATTACATACCATTTAATTTATGACATTAATTATTACCAGAATAAACCATTTAATTTATAACAGTTTTGACTCTATTTAAGTTATACATAGTGTACGTTACAATAAAAACTATTTAGTAAAAACGTGTCTTCCCTAGCAGAAACCAGTTTTAGCCAAACGGCTTCATTACAACTAGAATTTACTAGAAACATCTAAAATTAACTGATAAATAAATGTGCATGTTAGATAAAGTTAGTTTTCTCTTATCTTTGAATATACTTACCTCAAACGTCACAGGATTAAACGTCTGATTTTGCCGCTCTAAACCTATTGCCCTGATATTACTTGATAGATGCATTCGTAGTTTTTATAAATCCATCATATAAGGCGTAATCTGCTATCTTCGCAATCTCGTCAAGTTAAAGTTTTGAGATATATTTCAATAAGTTATAACTAGTTTTAACTGATATACTTTTGATTAGCAGTAAATTCTTGTTGAATTAAAATCTGGTTTTAACAAGGGAAAACACGTTCTATTTAGTATGTGTTCCGAAATAGAACCCAATATATTGGCAAATTCAAATGACGTCATTAATTGACGCCATATTGTGGTGGCGTGCCGCCGACATATTTTGTCGGGTATCCTGCCATATTAAAAATTTTTTTAAACAGCCAAGCACTAAATCATCGTCATCAGTATCACTATCGGATGAATCAGAATAAATTTTAATAGCAACACGGCTCACTAACATAATTGCTGGTATCCCAATTCTTCACAAATTAATTGAAACAGGATATAATAACTTTTGGAGCAGAAAATGACATAAAATAATCGGCGCAAATGTATGATGTCATATACTGGTCAATGTTTTGAAACGAATCACCAGTATGGCGTCGATTTATGACGTCATTTGCATTGGCCAGTATACTGGGTTCCATTTCGGAACACAGCAATACTAACGACTTTTCACTGTAACACATTTTGCACTCATTAGTTAAAAATTACATTGAGTCTGTGAATATGTGAAAATTAAATGATAATAGACAAAACATAATAATACAAAAACAATAATTGTGATCTTTCTGTCGTAAATTCAGGATATTGAAAAAAATATTTTTAAGACAATACGGTGAAATATGCGGACACTGTGATATGTTGACGTAAGCAACTTATAGGTTATATTCTGAGTAGTATTGATAAAATTACTGCATATAATCTGTAGTCAGTGGTGTTTTATCACAATCCTTCAGGCTCAGAAGGGCTAGAACCCAGAGTCGTAAAGCCGGTTAATAAAAAAAATATCACAATCCTTATAATTAGTACGTTATGTGTTAAGTTTTTAGTATTTATATTTCAATGTTATGCAATGATAAAAAAGGATAGTTGAAACTGTTGACCTCGTTTTAAAAATAACATTCCTCCAGACTCACAGGGTAGGCATAAATCAAAGACTTCCTAGCATAGTACTAGACGGGCACTACGCGACTTCTCATAAATTGTGGACACACTAGTTCTCTTTTTTGTAAACCGCGGACGTTGCTTTCGACAATCTTAACACTGATTTTGTTTTATGTGACTAAGAAAACACTGTCATTACCTCTGCGTACTTAGTCAAACGTGATTTGAAGTTTATTTCTGATATGTTTGTAACTTCATTTCGTATTTTCCTAAAAAAAGTTGTCGTAAATGAAAATACAACTGCGTGCTATATTTACCGTCCCAGATAACCAGCCGCGCCCGTGGCCGCGCGATCCATAGCTGTTACACAGTTTTCGTACTGAATTGTCTATCTATATTTATGTAAAAGATCTTCTATGGATACTACTGAATACATAAAAGTCTTTTGCATTAATAGAGCTTTTAAGCAGCATCGTAGACTAATGAATATGTAGAGAAGCTGGAATCTGTGTCGATACTTAAAGCTATTTTGGTTAACGTTCAATACTGAATATGAAATATATAGGTATTATATTACGGCAGTGAAAACATATTTCTCTCTCTCTTGTGTCATATTAAATAGATATGCCATTTAGAACGAAACTATTGTATCTTTTATCTATCTCCTTTCATAATTTACAAGTACATTCTATGTAGTTGTTTTAATATTAGGGAGTATTTGTAATGTTATAATGTATTTAAATATTTCATATTCACGGATTTTGTACAGCCTTCCATCTACGGCGCGAAGCAACCTTATGATTAAGTGAGGAAAGTACCTGTTAAAATTTCTAACAGTTCTAAAATGCTCATGTGCCTATAATTGTGTCAGTAATATAGATTTAAGAATATTGCTTAAAAGTGCTTATCGCACGTTTGTGCAAAGTTTAGTTTAAAATAATGCTAAAAGAGTCGGACAAAACGCACAAAACATAAATTGGTTGGTAGATTGTATCTCAAAGATTAAATGAGTTCACTCTAGTATATACTTCTATGACATTAGTTTTGTTAATAATTTTTCCATTACTTTTAAAACAGGAATTATTATAAGTTTGACGATTATAGAAATGTTTTGTTTTTATAGTTTATTAATTTTAAGTTTCGATGATTTTTTATAAAATAATGACTATCGGCCAAATATTCAAACGCTACTTAACCTTATGATCTTAAGATTGATCTTAAAATTACTTAAGCAGAGTTTAAATATTTGGGCACATGAAGGTTACATTATTTTTCAATTGCCACGGTGAACGCCATGACTTTTTTTAAACTACTGTATTTCCTTAGACACTTTGGTTTTTAAGTACTTTTGCAGCTCAAAAGTTCCTTTATTATTAACGAGTGGTAATTAATATTTTTGAAGGGCCTCTAAAAACCCGAATATATCTTAAATTTCTGAAATACAAATAAATTGGAATGACCTACAAATAATTATCCATTAATATTATTTTCGAATTAATCGGTTAAATATTTATATTAACAAAGAAATATACATAGATTTTGACATGTACACCACCGTGCCACTTGAAACCTACGTAATGTTCCATCAGTTCCTGTTGATTTGAGGGTATATGTAGATTTTTAGAATTAGGTAACTTTAGATCTCATTACTCTATGTTTTGTATGTGCCATATTTGTTCAAATCAAATCTCATTTACACTATGTTACAGTCTAAAAAAGAGCGATATCCTTCTCCATAAGCTATCATAAAGTCAAAGTAATGGTTGATTAGAGACGTAACAGACTTCGGTCTTATTACAAAAACTTTTTATTTATAAGTCTCGGGTTTAAAGTTGATTCTTTGATGCAGAAGAAGACTCAAAGTAATAATCTTTTTGACATAGGCCGTCAATTTCGATACTTTCCATTTTAGTTCGCATATTTTCCTCGGGCCTCATTGAAACAGACTTTTCTTTAAACCTGAGGTTGATGACTGTAAACTACTTTACGTAATAAGGCTTAGTAAACATTTCTATCTAATTGTTGGAAATTATTTTTTCTGTGTGTTTTATTTTTTTATTTTTTGTTAGCACGTTTTTTCTACGGATCCCTTTTCCTTTTTTTAACTCTATCTAAAAGTTATTTCTTTCTTTACCTCTGTTTTTACCTTTTAGTAACTGTTACCACCAGAAGAAATATTTTCTAGTTATTAGGTTAGTATTTTTGTTTGACTTTTGGATGCTTGTTGTTTATAAGTGAAAATTTAGAACACTGTACTGGAGCTAACTGAGTTGTTTTGTTATGTAATTCAATCTGGGAATAACTTATGGTGACCAGTTACTGCTAGTAACGTGTTCTAAATTGTTGTCTTTTATTTTCCCGCTCTTTTTACATTTAATAACCAAAGAGATTTTACATGACTATAAGTATAGACTAAAAATGGCTGTAACGAAAAAATTGTATTTTTTTTAATAAAGAATTCTATTCATATATTTTTTTTCATTTTTTACATTGACTTGACAGTCATACAAAGGTTATCTGACACCCCCTATAGTTGATTTTGATTGTTTCGTAGTTAACATATAATTACAGGCTTTCACAAGTCCGCTACTGAAAATAGGCCTCCTCCAAGGAACTCTTCAAAGCGCAGTCCTGAACCAACCGCGTTCATCGACTTACTGCATCACTTACCAAATCGTTATTCCATTGAGTGGGAGACCGCCCACACTACACTTCAATTCCAGTTATTGTAAAGTCATATCTTTAAATACTGCCTCGTTGATGTCGATGTAGATGTGAGGTCGAGGTGATGTGGGTTCGGTCAAAAAAATTAGTTATTAAGTTACCGTAACACTTCCGTGCCTCGGAAAGCACGTCAAGCTGTTGGTCCTGCGTCTGATCTGTCTCCGTTAGTGACGGTTTACCGTACCATCGTATTAAGAGAGTGAGGAAATAGAGAGTACACGTGCTTACGCATGGACTTGGCACTACATTTCTGTGCGCCGATGGCTATTCTCCGTTGAGGCTGGCCGCCGTGACCGGAAGTATATATGTTTGAAAATATAATCCCGATGGGTTTCTTGCTGGTTCTTCCCAGGACAGAGATGTTTTCTGAACCAGTGGTAAATTCAAAAACATGACTAAGAATTATTCTATTCTATTCTTCGATTACTGGTACAAGACTGACACTCGAGAACCTTTCTTCCCCATCGGTTATCGATTCTTCGGTCTACTTGGCTTGAAAATTGCTATTTCAGCTTACTGATTCGTTGTGTTATGTCGGTTACTCTGATTAACCTGGGATATAGCTATATTTTTACGTGGTTGAACCATGCTACAGTTATATAAATAATATAGTTGTAGCACGAATGGGTCGGCTCGACCGGGGAAGGACCACGCTCTCACAGAATACTAGCGTAAAATAGTAGCTTAATGCTGCTGTGTTTCATATGGTGAGTGTAGCGAACAGGAGACCCTTTTTACTCGAAACGAGGCATTCCGTCTTAGTCCTCACGGGTGACAACGCATCCTCTGCTTTTTGATTCTGGTGGAGGTGGACTGTGTGCTCGTTTGTCATCCTATCCTATAAAAAAATATACTCGTAGTTGCATAGCTCGCGAAGCTACCTTGAGCTTCCTCATGCGGTCAGCAGTGAAAGTCTCAGATCCATATGTCATCACTGGCAACACAAAGAGGTTGTACAGTACTGTTCTAAATTTTTTAGATAAGAAATAAAGTTATTACCTTCTACATGTCTTTATTTCTTTTTCTATTTTTTTGCATTTTTGATTTAATTTGACGATTACTTACTAGAAGACGTGACAGTGTTATGAACAGCGAGTCCAGTATAGTCGATCTCCTGCTCCCACATGTTCTATATATATTTAAAACTATTGAATTTATATATTTCAAACTGTCTTTTGAAATAAAACATAGTTTAATATTTATTTTTAATTATTAATTGATGAAGTTTTGAGATGTATAATTAATAGGTTTCTTAAAGGTTTTCCTTGGGTCAATTTCCTTTGTCCAATTCATATTTAATGGCGCGGTAGACCAGTGCAGCTTTCTGCGCACATTTGTCAGCAAAGTGCTTGACCTTTTTGGAGTTAAGTGCTTCTCTAAGGCCACGCAAAACTGATTCAAAGTTGATCTCCACCATCAGGGAGGGCTTACCACTTCTAAAATGCACGATTTCTGGCCCTGTAATCATGAATAATGGGTTACTAGAACATATATATATTATTTTACCAACTCTCTTCACGTGCTAACGTCACCTGGCGGCTAAGACTTTCTATATATTATGTTGCATAAATAAATAATTTTTCGGCTTCATCAAGGCAAGAGTGAGAATAGTCTTTTGTTACGCCAAGACAGTGCGATTTAAATTTTACGGCTGCATCACCACTTACCACCAGGTGGAAAAGTGGTTAAACACTGGCTTATAATAAATAAATAAATAAAATTAGATGAGCATAATCTGTTTTTGAGTTCCTGCCACGGAGCAGAATAATTAAGAATTTTATGGCATTAAACAATACTTACTGACAATATCCGTGTCTTTGCTTGATCTGAAATACATATTGTAGATTCGCTCATCCTTCATAAAACGAGATATCAAATTCTCCAGCTTCTGTATGAAGTTCGACGTTGCCTTATCTAGACTATTAGGTTTTGCCCCGGTGTTTATAGCAAGAACTATACTTTCTAGACCACTGTCCTTGCCTGAGTACGGCCTTTGGCGTACATCGTACCGCTTATGTCCACTGAGTCTCTTTCTAGTGTCTTCTGCTATCTCTTCGTATTTAGTTGCAATGGAATGGTTGTCGCCTTTGGCTTCTTCAAGGACAGTGTACGCCTCGATGCTGCCCACACAGATTGTTCCTACGCCTGAAAATCGCGTACTATAACTGTGATGATTTGATTGTGTGTGTGTGTGTGTGTGTGGTGTGTGTGTGTGTGTGTGTGCGTGTGTGTTTGTGTGTGTGTGCGTGTGTGTGTGTGTGCTGAGCGGTGTGTGTGTGTGTGTGTGTGTGTGTGTGTGTGTGTGTGTGTGTGTGTGTGTGTGTGTGTGTGTGTGTGTGTGTGTGTGTTTGCAATACGTATGCACACGCTGCTTACGCGCAACATTTGATTTTGTGTCTCTTATTAGAATAACGTCCTCCGGACTGAATTTCGGTTACGGCGGCAAATCTCTACTGAGACTAGTCATCTGCGCAAGACGGGATCATAGTACACGAGTGTGTGCGCAAGCGCGTTTTTAAATTTTTTAGAATACCGGATTTTCGATATATCGATAAATAAACTTTTTTTATAGGATAGGGTGATAAACGAGCACACAGTCCACCTGATGGTAAGTGGTTGCTGCGCCCCATAAACACCTACATCTATCCTCGATTACGAATCAAAATGCAGACGCATTGTCAACCGTGAGGACTAAGATGGAATGCCTCCTTTCCAGTAAAGAAGGGTCTCCGGTTCTCGACACTCACCATACTAAACACAGCAGCATTAAGCTACTATTTTACGCTGGTATGCTGTGAGAGCGTAGCCCTTCTCCGGTCGAGCCGACCCATTTGTGCTGTAACTATACTACTAATATAACTGCAGCATGACTCTACCACGTATACAAAGTAAAGTAAAAAAATTGATAAGTATCTCCTCCCTACGACGGCTCCGTGGCACAGTGACTTAGCAATGAGTTGTGGGGCTAAGGGGCCGCGGGTTAGAATTCCGCACGGAACAGGTAAATAAATAAATAATTTCAAAAAAAATTGCCAAAAAAATTTAAAAATTTAAATAGACAGCTTAATAATTAGTTGAGACGAAACGGTCTATGACTCAGTTGCAACGGGAAACCCATTACTTTTGCTATTCTGCCACAGCCTTTGCGTGTTAACCATACAGGCTCTTAGGCAATCGATGAAACACACGTATCAACAATAAATAAACAAAAAAAAAATTAAAACAATAAATTATAGTCACTAAAATACAAAAAATGTTCTCTAAATGAGGGGTATCAGAGCCACATAGAGCCGGGGACTGCTGTTTAATGAGCCACTTTGTCGGAAGGCACACAGGTCGGAAGGTAGACGGAAATAGGGTAGACCGGACTGCTGGTGGCAGTTTTAGCAGCCGTAAATTTAAAATAAGTAGGTTGTATTGCCTACAAATGATTGTTCAGGGTCTGGGCGTTTGTCCTAGTGATATTTATGTATGTAAACTGCCTCCACGATACAGGAGAAATTGCTGTGGAGGTAACTTTTTTTTTAATTCCAAAAGCGTACGACCGTGTTATGCGTACATGTATGTTTTTGTTTGTTTTTATATGGTATGCGGCGTATAGTTTGTTTAGAAATACAATCTTTGGAGTCTTGTACAAAACATATGCGTAGATAGTTATGGAGTGTAGAAGTAAGGAGTACCAACTCCCATAGTAGAATAGTTGAAAAAGTGTCCATCTGTAAGTAGTAAATAACAGTTCAAAAACTCTCCACAACAGCGCTGGAGTAGCTACTGGGATTAAATGAACTTAGCAGTTGTCGACGGTTTAAGTGTGCTGCTAAACTACTCAGTAGCTCTAAAATCTAAAATAATTTTATTTAGTAAATATAACCTCAAAAAAGTCTACCCCACTAATATTTTTCGGCACGTTCTTTAAAATTTAGCCCGTAGCTATAGTGGCGACACCCTTATTTAACGGTTTTCTATGGACACTTTTTAATACACAGTCTGTACTCCTTACTTCTACACTCCATAGTCGATAGTCTTCCGGCGCATGTCAGTTTTTTTTCAACAAAATATTACTTACTCTGTGCGGCCGGCTTAAAAGGATGTGAGAACTGTCAATGGTCATTCGTGAGATGATAGTCGATGATCAGTTTATGATGCTTATAGATTTTTACACGCTGAAAAGTATATGAAAAGTAGAATTTTAGTGGATTTCTTACCTACAATTAAGAGCAATAAGGTATTCATTTTCGCAAAGTTTTCCTCTGCAAGAGGATCTTGAATCAACACATAAAGTAAAAAGTAATTAAAAAGCAATAAAAAGTACATTAGTAATAAAATGGTCATAACATTTACCTATCAGAAAATTAACAGATATGTATAATCGCTCGTAAAAATAAATAATGTGCGGACACAGAGCCGGTTTTTGATACCCTACGTTTTTACAGCAAATGGTGTTTTTTTTTGAAGTGAAATCTTCTTTAGCGGCGTTGTACACTTTTTTGTGATGGGTAAAAAATGTTAAACTCGTGTCAAGACACGTGACCCTGATCGAAAATTCGTAAGAAAATGAAGAAGTAGAAAAGTCTTACGAATTTTCGCGAGACGTAGGAGAAGAAGTATCCCCCTCTCTTTCTACGGTGCGGCGAAAATATGTGCCTGCGCCTGCTGTTGTGTTTCGTTTAGGCGGCGCAGGGCGCTTGCGCGAATGTTCGTGTGTGATAATTAAAGCAATTCGTGGAAAATTATTCCCTAATCATTCCAAAATATCAAAAATGCACAACGTTAATATTCAAGTTTTCACTTCTGGCGGCACTCCCGGAGTGCAACCCGTCGTTTTTTTTATAGAATATAGGTGACAAACGAGCACACAGTCCACCTGATGCAGTCCAATGGACAGTCTGGTAAAAACACCTAGGTGTATTTTTTTCTTAGGTCGTCAGAATAGGAATTCCTATAAGTTTCATCACAGTGTTAGTTACCTATTCTGAGTGTCATATGTTTAGTGGTAGACTGCCTCGTTAGTCTAGGTAATAAACGCGACTGCTGATGCGACTGCATGAGGTCCCGGGTAGGAATCCCGGGTCGGACCAATAAAAATCAGTTATTGAGCGCCTGATCTCTCTCCGGTTGTGTCGGATTACCGTCCCATCAGACTATGACTTTATTTTATACGTGGTAGAGCCATGCTGCAGTTATATTAGTAGTGTAGTTGTAGCATGAATGGGTCGGCTCGACCGGGGAAGGACCATGCTCCTCTCACAGAATACCAGCGTAAAATAGTAGCTTAATACTTCTGTATTTCGTATGGTGAGTATAGAGAACCGGGGACCCTTTTTACTGGAAACGAGGCATTCCATCTTAGTCCTCACAACGCATCTGCATTTTGATTTGTAATCGAGTATAGATGTAGATGACTATGGGCCGCAACAACCACTTACCATCAGGTGGACTGTGTGCTCTTTTGTCACAGTATTGTATATAAAAAATGAGAGTGAGGCAATAGAGTGCACCCGTGCTATCGCACACATTTGGGGACTATAATCCTGCCCTGCGCGAAGTCTGGAGTACATTCATCCCATTAGTAATCTTATAAAATAAGACACACTTTAAATATTTACTTACTTACTACCAACAGGGATGAAAATAAATAAAAATTTATGTCCAAAAATAATTATATATTTCAGTTAAATAAAAATAGAAATTACAAAATCACAATAAAGCACCTGCAAAATAAAGTAATCAAGTTATATTTACAAATTAAATATAAATAAATCCAGATTTCATTTACAGTTCAACGTTAAAAAAAGATCTTTCTCTCTTACTCGGAACCCTATAGTTCGTTCGATGACGTTTGTTACTGTACGATCAGCAATAAAAGAATGACCTTACGTACTAAATGATACCAAGGAAAGGGTATTGGCTAAATCAAATACCATAGCTTAATCTATGGTAAAAACGATATCTATAGATTACTATGGTACTTGCCTCATTAGATAAAAGGAAATAACATTTTAGGATTTAATTACTTAACACGTATAGAATAAAATAAATATAACGCGGCAATAGAGAAATGATTTATAAATTGCGTTCGCTTCATTGCTATCTCGCTCACACTATAGCTCCTTTTAAAGTCATAAACCATGGACTGTATGCAAAATATATTCCGTCTGCTTGTCTCTTTTTATTACCATTCAGTGAGAAGAGATCTTTTTCTTTACTTTATCTTTTACTTTCTTTAAATGACAATAAAAAGAAAAATTTGCTCTTGCAACTTTAAGCATTCCTAAATTGAAGTCGATTATTATGAGTATGGTTTATTTAGCTTCAAAAACTATTACGTCATTTTAATATTAACATAGCTTCAACAAACTATTACGTCATATTACGTTTTAATATTAACAGTGCTTAAGCAATATTTTAGTTGATATGAGTGTCGACTACCATATAACAATTGATTTAATAGTAACAGTTAAAAACAAAATTAATTGCGTTGCTGACGGTACTTTACTAATGAGAAACACTAGCTGCCCGCAGTGCGACAGAGAGCGCAAAAGACGCGGGCACCGGGCACGCGAGTATTTAAAATTAGTATAAGTGACATCATCCTTAGATTCCTGTAAGCGAGTCACTACCGTGGCATTATTCATTGAAAAATTTATAAGTTAACTACGATTCTAAGCCAAGAGTTCAAAATTAAGTTCCTGTAGAACAGTTGGTGGATTATTTTAATAGATATAAGTACGTCATATAGTGGACGAGTACTAACAAGACTGACAATCTTCATACATAGTTACCGTTACCGACACAGTCTACAGTCCAATGCTGAGTATGAGTCTCCCCATAGATTGCGTCATAGGGGGGATATTTTCCTTAATTGGCACGCTTGGCAAGCGGGTTGGCAGTCGCAGTTTATTATTTTGAGTCGTTATAAGGAATACGCTGCTGCCCCTCCCGATTTGCTTCCCTCTGTCGCGTCTTACGACACCCACAGGATGACATGGAGTAGTGGATATTCTTACATTGCAGTTACACAGTTTATACCGTAGAATACTTTAATGCACAATAGAATGGCGATCAACTTTATTTTATACGATGATTGGCGTCGCCAAACCCGATTCACTGTTGACAGACTGAGTAAATTTACACATTATAGACTTTTGATTAATGTTCAAGATCATCATTAAATTTTAATACATATTTATTCGTAAATAGGGTGCAATTTGACATTTTTCTAAATAATTTGCATGCAAAATTCGGAAATGATTGTAACGTCAAAACACATCTCGTGTTGACATTTATACGTGTGAATTGACGTGTTAGTGTCATTTTAGTGGCTAAACAGGCTCCGCCTACTCCCCCGTTCTATTGTGTATGTATTATACTATTCTATGGTTTATACATAAGCCGGACTTAACTCGCGACTGAAAATAAATCAAATAAACATTTCTGTTAAAGGACTAACAAACTAAAAGTTTATCATGGGAAATGCCTACTGCAGCATGAACTCCCGTAATCAGCTTCTATCAAAGAAGGTCAAGCTCCTTTTCGACGAACTTTAACGCGGTCTTTGAGTCTCGTCGGCAAAGCCCGTTCGAATCATCGCTAAACCGCGGTTTTGTGAGCCGATAAGCTAAGCTCGTGGCTCGAAAGTGTTGTATGAATTTGGCAAATTGCTTCCACAAACGCTAAAGAATAAATATTTGGCTCGTCAGTGTAGAGAAAGTACGAGCCGCGAGCAAAATCATTATTATCTTCATCGCCTACTTAAGCTCGGCTCGTCTAGTCGGAACACAGCAATGGGTGACATTGCTTCTTGCCGAGTTAAAAAAGAGGTCCAAACCCGAAAGCCTCCAAGATGAAAGAGGACTATTACCTTGTAAACAATATTCAAACAAAATAACATAATTCAATAAAAAACATCAATAATGAGAAAATAATAAGCATAAAATATAAACATGATCTTTTATTATTTTTAGACTGTGAATCATCACTATTTAATCTTAACAAAACATAACGTGCTTTTTGCAAAATGATATTTAAAGAAGTAAAGTTACAGCCTATATACGTCCCACTGCTGGGCTCAGGCCTCTCCTCATTTCTGAGAGGGTTTAGGGCAAGGAAGTGTCCGCCGCGCTGCCCAAATGCGTGTTGACGAACTTCACATGTCTTCGAAATATTTTTTTTCTTAATCCTCAGACATGCAGGTTTCCTCACGATGTTTTCCTTCACCGCCGAGCACGTGGTAAATCAGCACTTAAAATTGCAATTAACAATTTCATTGGTGCCGGCGGGGATCGAACCCGGGTTACTCGCTTTCTGTTATATTTACAGCGAGCGTTAACCACTGAGCTACCACGGCTCTATGGTATAAGTAATTAAATATTTAAGAAATATTTAATTATGGGAATTGTCAGTCCTCTTAGCAAGGTGAAATACATCGACATTCTTTATCTATATTGCACATAATTTATTAAAAAAATATATAATAGTCTGCCATCTGAACTGTAAAGGACCATCACGTGAAAAAACATCTAAATATTTGTTGGGTACTACCTAATTTACATAAATTAGTTACTTTTGTGTCACTTATTTGGTATCCAAATGTCAGAAAAAAGTACCATCAGTATATAACAAAAAGTTTGACCAAATGTTACTTTAGCGGACTTATAATATTCGGAGGGTAGCATTACATAAATACTTTGCCCCTTATCTAAGTTTATACAATTTTTTCGCAGATACTTCAAAAAAAATATCTGAAAAACATTATCAAGCGATGTATATGGTGCTTTGAGTCGGACATTTCGATATCACGCTCAAAGGGCCAGAAATATATAAGTAATTTCTAGCTCTTTGAGTCAGTTGTATTTACGGATATTAGTTGAATGTTTATGTTTTTGATATAGTACTGATGTTATAGTATAAAATTATAGTAAATTCCGACTAAAATAAACAGATCAAAATATATTTTTATTAATTTTAAATGATGAAATGTTTTCGGAAAACTCTAATGTTCTTATTTAATATTTTGTTTACCTCTTTGCGACTTCGGTTCAATTAATCTTAGAAAAAACTTAGTCTTTGTAAATCTAGTTTAAGTTTCACAATAGTTCTTATAAGTAGACGATAAGGTACACAATAAAAAATAAATTAAGTTATGGCATTAAAGAATAAACTTAAGTAAAAGTTAGTATACGCTTAACACTACTTTGACTAATATTTGCTGACTTTACTAAAGTGCTTTAAGAATTAAGGCTTATTTTTACGAACATGTTTGTTATTTAAACTACGTTTCTGGGTACAAATTAAATATATTTCCATCTATCTATTACAGACTTTAAAATCCCACTGCTGAACATAGGCCTCCATCGTAGATAGCCTCATGTGGGGATTTTGCTATAGTTGCCATGTTTGGCAAGCGGGTTGGCAACTCCATTTTTTAATACTTTGATTAGTTCTCAGGAAGACGCTGATGCTCATCTCGTTTTAATTTCGCGTCGCCTCTTACGATACCCACGGGACGATATGGGGTAGTGGAAATTCTTACACCGACACTACACAGTTAATTTATATTTACAAAAAACTTTTTTTATACGCTAAGGGTGACAAACGAGCACACAGTCTACCTGATGGTAAGTGGATGCTGTGGCCCATAGACATCTATATTTAACCTCGATTAAGAATCAAAATGCAAATGCGTTGTCACCCTTGAGGATCAAGATGGAATAGGTACCTCGACTCTAGTAAAACAGGTCTCGGGATCTCTACACTCACCATACGAAATACAGCAGTATCAAGCTGCTATTTCACGTTGGTGTTCTGTGAGAGCGTGGTCCTTCCCCGGTCGAGCCGACCCATTCATGCTACTCTATCTACTCTATATTTGCACTTCTCTAACAAAATCTTTGCACTAAAACCCTAAAGTGGCTGTCATCTTTACTTTTGCTATTTCTCTATCAATTGCCCTATATTTGCCGCAATTTTCAATAAAAAACGTTCAAATCATCGAATTACCTATAGTAATGGTAATTGGAGACCGGATGAAACTAAAACAGGACACGGCCAGCAGCTGCTTCCTGGTAACAACTCAAAATAATAAAAAAAATTGGCCAAACACCTGCCAATCATGGCAAATACGCTAAACATACCCTATATGAGACGACCTATGGGAAGCATGGGCCTTCCTTTAGGTGGGGACTTGTGATGGTATATAATTAATAAATAAATTAAAATAAATTGATCGATGTTAACAATTTATAATTACTTTTCTTTTAAATATTAGACTGATAAACGAGGTTACAGTCCACTTTATGGTAAGTGGTTATTGCAGCCTGCTATAGGCAACTTCAAACCTTTCAACAATGATAGCAACAAATGTGTTACCACCTCTGAGGACTAGACATAGAATACTATAATACACAATAGAATGGCTGTTAACTTTATTTTGTACGAGGATAGGCGTCGCCAAACCCGATTCGCTGTGTTTACAGACTGAGTAAATTTACACATTTTAGACTTTTAATTAATGTATAAGATCATCATTAAAAAAATCGTTTAAATTTTTATACATATTTATTTGTAAATAGGGTGCAATTCGGCATTTTTTTAAAACGATTTTTTAAAGCGAAATTTTATAACGATTGTAACGTCAAAACACATCTCGTGTTGACAGTTATACGTGTGAATTGACGTGTTAGTGACATTTTAGTGACTACACGGGCTCCGCCCACTCCCCCGTTCTATTATGTATGTATTATAGTATTCTTGGGACTAGATGTAATGCCTAGAAGTCTGTAATTATAATCTTCCTCTGAAACACTTTAAACCGAAACAAAGTAGTGGATTGTACTGCTACAGAAAGAGGGTAGTAGAAATTTTCTAACAACTCAAACTGAGCTTTTTTGTTTTAAATAATGTTTTACATTGCGATTTCACTTAAAATATTAAAACACTACAGTACGGGAAGCGAAGAATTAAATTCTTACACCTCACTGGTCCTTACTTTAATATGTGAATGTAACCAAGGTTTAGATTCCTATGGGAATTATATTTTTAATAGATAAGGTAAACAACATAACATATAGATCAACTTAGGTGAAAGCCATACCTGCGCTGCTATATCAAACCATAATAAGTACATTACATTTACTCTAAAATGAACTCTAAAACTGGGATAAATAAAGTCTATTTTAAGATAACTGCATTTGCCTTAGTAGGTAAGGTTTTTTATAGAAGAGGGGGCAAACGAGCATGCGGCTCACCTGATGGTAAGTGATTATCCTAAAAACCGCGCATAAAAACCTGCAACACCAGAAGAATTACAGGTACGCGGCCTTTTTAAAATAATTAAGTCCTTCAAAGGTCTTAATTATTTTAAAAAGTGTGTAGTTATATTATTTGGAAAAAATTACTGTTGGTAGCAGATTCCACAATAAAGTTAAACGAGGAAGAAAACTTCTCGTAAATCAAGTTAGAACTTAATTCAAAATTTGATATAGCGCAACACAATAAATTTTAAAAGTAACTTATTTACACAATGAGTAAACGCTAAATTCTTTACACTTAGCGTGACGTGGAGACATTTAGTACACTTATTATAAGTAATAATAACATTGAGCATTAGTTAGGGGTCGCCCAAAGAATATATACGTTAACTAGAATGCGGACAATTGTCCTACACGAAAAGGGGGAAAAGGTGATAAGCGCGACGTCAGAACTTTTCTACCCCCCCCCCCCCCCCCCCCCCCCATATATATCACTTTTTATATATACACTAGCTGGTCTGGCAGACGTTTATCTACCCTTTCGATATCAGGCTCAAAGGACCAGAAATATATAATTAAATTCTAGCTCTTCGAGTCAGTTGCATTTACATTAAAATCCTTTAATTCGCAATAAAAACATTGAAGGTCACTTATCGGGATAAAATCTCTCAAGTTGAACCAAACTGCACACAGTGTGCAAAAATTCATTGAAATCAAGTTCAGTAGTTTAGGAGTTTATCGCGGACAAACAATGTGATACAAAATTTTTATATATAAACTATAATAAAAAAGTTCTAATCGATTAATAAATTATAGTAAAATATACTTTACTATTTCTACTTTTGTCCATAAATCAATATAAGTATGACTTGTAACCGGTTTTGTGAAGTACGGTTGAGAGAAGTTAGTCAATATTGCATATTTTTGGATGACCCCTTACTAAGAAATATATCTGACATGGATGGTAACATCTACGTTATTATTTAGGAAAAAGTAATTCCCAATAACTTTTGATGATCTTAATTTGATATCCTATTAAAGTAATGGCGTACAAATACACAGAGATAACAATTCTGCAAACGTATGGCCCCAATGACTTCTATAGGTACTACTATGCGGGCTCTCCGGCACTAATACTTTGCGCAATAAATAATGGTCAATTCTCCTTAATTCCCTCAGTCGACTGTGAGCGAGCGAGAAGACTAGTTCTTTGTTTTATAAACCGCGAACGTTTTTTTCCATAATCTAACTACAAATTTTGTTAAATGTGCCTAAGTAAACGCTACCAATGTTTATGTGCGCACTTTGTCAACTTGATTCAAAGTTTATCTGAGATAACTATGCAACTTTATTTCGTATTTGCCTAAAAACAGTAGAAGACACGACTGTGTGGCATATTAACCGTGCTAGCTAGCCACCCACACGATCCACACCTGTAACACATTGCCCGTCTGTAGTATAATATATAGAAATCTTTGTATCGTCCATACGTATTGCCAGTGTCATCGCGAATATAAACATATCCGTTATAGTCTTTAAGTGCGTAATTGCGACTCTCTGCACAAATATATTAAGTAAAACACTCACATTTACGTTTATAAAAATATGAATTAGTCCTAGAATATTTAAGAGCAATTCATCGGTTGGTAACAACGGGCGTTAAAATAATTCTCAGACTTATGTTTCGAATGGTCGTCAAAATATGACGTCATATATGAACAAAATGGCCGCCGTCAACAATACGGCGGCAGGAGAGAGCGCGGGAGCTCGACAGACTAGCACGTCGTTGGGATATAGATTCGGTGGAGGAGCTTCTTCGCCGCCTTTACAATATTCGCCACGGGACTGTAATAGCAAAAATGGTACCATTGTATGAAATTGAAAATATAAAATATTCTAATATTTTCTTTAGTGTTTATTGTAAAAGAAGAGGAATGAAACTTATTAGAAAGGTACAGTGTCATAGATATACTTAAAAACTATGTGTGTATGTAAAATAAATAAATTTAAAAAAAGAACCAATGAGAGCATCCACATCTCTTTCTGCCACCAGAGCGGCACCACTTTGCTATGATGTGAAATTGTTATAAAAGTGTAAAGATTAATTTCTCTTTCAGATTTATTACTTTTAATCTGTAATAATTAGATTATTACAAAAAAAAATGAAACGAAAAACAAAACACGTAATTATGGAGTGTAGAAGTAAGGAGTGCAGACTGTGTATTAAAAAGTGTCCATAGAAAACCGTTAAATAAGGGTGGCGCCACTATAGCTACGGGCTAAATTTTAAAGAACGTGCCGGAAATATTAGTGGGATAGACGACTTTTTCGAGGTTATAGTTACTAAGGAAAATTATTTTAGATTTAAAGCTACTAAGCAGTTCAGCAGCACACTTCACACCGCCGACAACTGCTAAGTTCATTTCATCCCAGTAGCTACTCCAGCGCTGTTGTGGAGTTTTTGAACTGTTATTTCCTGCTTACAGATGGACACTTTTTCAACTATTCTACTATGGGAGTTAGTACTCCTTACTTCTACACTCCATACTCGCCGCTATGAAATCTGTCAAATATTACACCTCATTTTTAAGTTACACAGCCAAAAGCCGTGGACCATTGAGCCTACTTACAGAAAACTCGTCGCCGCAAAGTTCTCTACACGGCGGACAAACAACTCCACCTCGATGCAGCCAGCCACGTTGCATTATTCTAACTTGCAGGACTTGTCCCGCGTAATAGCACGTGTATGAGTAGTTGCCCACCTGTGTACAAAATTTACCAGTTATTAATACTTAAATTTCGCAGTCAGGAACAGTGATGTCGTCGAAAGAAGGGTATAATTTATACGTGGTAGAGCCATGCTGCAGTTATATATATATGTGGTAGAGCCATGCTGCAGTTATATTAGTAGTATAGTTGTAGCACGAATAGGTCGGCTCGACCGGGGAAGGATCACGCTCTCACAAAATACCAGCGTAAAATAGCAGCTTAATGCCGCTGTGTATGGTGAGTGTAGAGAACCGGAGACCCTTTTTACTGAAAACGAGGCATTCCATCTTAGCCCTCACGGGTGACAACGCATCTGCATTTTGATTCGTAATCGAGGATATAAGTAGATGTTTATGGGCCGCAGCAACCAGTTACCATCAGGTGGACTGTGTGCTCGTTTGTCACCCTATCCTATGCATTTTTATTCATAATTGAGGAGAGATGTTTGTGGGTCACAGCTTTCACTTACCAACAGGTGTGTTCGTATATCACCTACATTCTATAACAACAAAGAGAACTAAATTGAGTATTTAATACCTTATTTTTGATAAGCCTCTAAAAGACCACTAATAGATTTGGAACTCTCCCAATGTAGGAACGATTTTCCTCACTTTGTCACACTTGACAGGCGAATAGACGATAGTAGTGCCTGATGTGAGGACCTCATCGTCGGTACTCTACAGTCCACTATATCTGAAGAATCTCTTTGCGTAATTTATCGTATTTACCACGAGGAGCGCTCTGAGGAATTGTTCGAACTAATTCCAGCCGCACAATTTTACTATCGCACAACGCGACAAAACTCCACATTACCATCCATACCATCTGGATGATTGGCGGTCACACCACTGTGCGAATTAAAAGAAGTTTTCTTCCTCGCACAACTTCCTTGTGGAATCAAGTACCACCAGAGATTTTTCCGGACCTTACGATTTAGGGACCTTTATGGAAAGAGCCTACTCCTTTTAGCAAAACAACGCAACGCATCTGCAATTCCCCTGGTGTTGCGGTTGTTCATGGGATGCGGTAGTCACTAACCATCAGGTGAGCCGTATTATGCTCGGTTGCCCCCTCTTCTTTAAAAAAAGTGTTAACTTCTTTAAAATAGTTGTGATTTAAAACTCGGTCAAACGATAAAAAGGACAATGAAAAAAGACAAATATATACATTGATTAAAACTACTTTAATGGATTTTATCGCGTTTAATTTAACTTTTAATCATTACATCAGATTTGATAGACCACAAATTCTCGCGAAAGAACACCGATTCCTACCAAGGATGATACGTGAGGCTATTGAAATTAAAAAAACATCCTAATTTCAATAGAGAAGGAGGCTGGGTACTACCACCTGCTTGGGACCCTATAATCAATAAAATTAAAACTAAACCCAAGCATACCACCGCAAGACCTCAGGACATAGTCAGTTCATTTTGCATAGATCGAACCATAAACAATAATTAAAAAAGCTGAAGGTACTCCGGGTTCAACAATGACATCGGGACGTCAGTCACCTCAGTCCCCCGTGATCATGGGTGCTGGAAAGCACCCGAAACGTCGGGAATTAAAAATAAAAATAATTAAAATTCAAATTAAACGCGATAAAATCCGTAAAAGTAGTTTTAATCAATGTGTAGTGTTCGCGTAAATATAAGAAATCATTATAAAAACATATACATCTATAGAATTTAGCCTGCGAGAGAATGAGATAGAATACAGTGTATACTGTAAACTGCGAACTCACAAGGTTGTGGGTCCGAATCCACCATTCGACTACAGACTTTTATGTTTAAAAAAAACTATTGCACACATGTTTTTTGGCATTTCCCATAGTCTTACGACAACTACAAAATGGGGAACCTACCAATAATACAAAACTTTCTACTAAGAAGGTAATACTACTGTACTGTACTCGTATACTACATTATATGATGTGAATTTGGTACTATTTTCCCGACTTCAAAAATGGAGGAGGTAGTCAATTCGACTGTGCTTTTATTAATGCGTTACCTTAGAACTTTTCTCTCGGTTAAGAGGATACCTTGAAAATGAATCGAAGTTTTGGGGGCGTGGCTTATTCCTCTGTCGGTAAAGCTAACGGACGACTGCGGGAGTGTCGAAATGAAAGTGATGCAATGACTTCATAGTACGGAAATTATGAGGTAGCCACACCGAGCAAGCGCTCGGAAAAAAACTACATAAGCGCCAAACAACATTTTTATTTATTTTTACAAAACTTCGTTATGGATTAAAAAACTGGTTTATGGGAACTTAGATATGATTATTTACTATGCCTTAAAAATAATCCCATGAACTTATTCGTAAGAATATTGTGGTGTCATGGAGAAATGTAAATAATTAGAGCTTACTTTGCAATTTTTTTCTATCGAGCAAATTACATGATATCGTGTTTTTATTTTATGCAATCATATAGTCAAAAATCATATACCAAAATTATGGTTTGTAATAAATAAAACTTAAAAAAATATGTTAAATAGAAAAACCACAAAATTTTCGAGGTATTCTTAATCGATTTTGATGTTTAATTAACAATTGTTCTCATTTCAATTATATTGAAGTCGGTTACACAATTTTTTTAATTTTATCACTTGTAGTAGTGGGTATTCATACATTCATGCGTATAAGTTCTATATGAAAGTTGCGATAATAAATAAAACTCACCACAATATGAAGTCGCCCGCTTTGACATTTGTATTTGTAACAACCGGAGCCCCAATGTTGCCATTCCCTTATCTGTGGAAAAAGTAAAAACATTAAAAATGAAGAAACAGTTTCTAAGCACATAATATGTTTAATTGCTATTGATATCTTTAAAATCGAATCGAATCTATTTCCAAGTGACGAGAACCGGAGTCCCTTTCAACTAGTAGCAAAGCATTCCATCTTAGATGCATTTTGATTCTTAATCGAGGATAGATGTAGATGTCTATGGGCCATACCCACATAAGGTGGACTGTGTGCTCTTTCGACTAACGACATATATATATATATATATATATATATATATATATATATATATATATATATATATATATATATATATATATATATATATATATATCGATAATAAAAATTTCTTGCACCCTACTTCAAGCAGTATATCCCCATCCCCACGTAAAAATGGTCTACCGTTAAATTTCGATAAAACAGATAATTTACTATATAATATTATAATTAAGAGCAATTTTACTTAAGGATTCACGTTTTTTACGTAGTTGCTGTCTTTTGTTACACTTTTTGCTTTAGTTTCATCAAAATGCATTATTTTATGAAAATAAAGTTTATCATGTAAATTTAGTGCTATTGAATAAAAAAAGGTCTTCTTTATTGTTACACTAACTTTCTACATATCATGCAAATTGGAGTGCGATTTTTGTAAAAAAAATGTACTAAACTGTTAGAGCATTTAAAAATATTTTAGCCATAAAATATGCCAACTAAATACTGATTTCAAAATGGTATCACAATAATGGGTCCTATTGTTTAACAGAAAGATATCCTAGATTCTGTCGCCCATAGACGTCTACATTTATCTTCGATTATGAATCAAAACGCAGATGCGTTGTCACCCGTGAGGACTAAGATGGTATGCCTCGTTTCCAGTAAAAAGTGTCTCCGGTTCTCTACACTCACCATACGAAACACAGCAGCATTAAGCTGCTATTTGACGCTGGTATTCTGTGTGAGCGTGGTGCATCCCCGGTTCAGCCAAGGAGGTCGAGAAGGCATTCCATCTTAGTCCTTAAGGGTGACAACGCATCTGCGTTTTGATTCTGAGCGTAGATAAATGTAGATGTCTATGGGCCACAGCGTCCACTGTGCTAGTCTGTCGCCCATATTTTATATAAAAAAGGCGTAATATGATTTCTTCTGACTTAAAACAAGTTAAAGAAGACATAAGAACCTGTCGGCAAGACTTCTGCTCCCAAACTCTGTCGCTATGGTCGAAACACTTCGAGTGCGAGCCGTAGTTCTCCAGGGCGAAGTTTACATCAGTCTCTGTGGAAAAAATTGATTAGTGACTTAATTTGGCAAACTTTTTACTTTTCACCATTGATATTATATAATAGCAGCTTAATGCTGCTGTGTTTCGGCTCGACCGGGGAAGGACCACGCTCTCACAGAACACCAGCGTTAAATAGTAGCTCAATGCTGCTGTGTTTCGTATGCTGATTGTAGAGAACCGGAGACCCTTTTTACTGGAAACGAGGCATTCCATCATAGTCCTCACGGGTGACAACGCATCTGCATTTTGATTCGTAATCGAGGATAAATGTAGATGTCTATGGGCCACAGCAACCACTTACCATCAGGTGGACTATGTGCTCGTTTGTCAGCCTATCCCATAAAAAAAATAGATGAATATATTTTTTCTCTTTGGTTTTAATGGCTGACTGCACGACCAAAATTTTTGTACGTAGTGACTTATTAAACCAAATTATTGAAGTAGATACACATTTTTCATTTTATTATCGTCGACTGAAGAAATCAATTTCCATTATAGCCTATGAAAGTCCATCGCTGAATAAAGTCCTCCCCACAGATTTCCTCACAGTGGGGACTCTGCCATAGTTGCCGTATTTTGCAGGGTGGCAAACACAATTTTATTATTTGAGTTGTTATTAAGAAGATGTTGCTGCTCATCACCTGTTTCAATTTTTTATAGAAATAGGGTGACAAACGAGCACACAGTCCACCTGATGGTAAGTGGATGCTGTGGCACATAGACATCTACATTTATCCCCGATTAAGAATCAAAACGCGGATGCGTTGTCACCCCTGAGTATTAAAGTGGAATGCATAATTTCCAGCGTAGAATACTATAATACATAATAGAATGGCTGTCAACCTTATTTTATACATACAAGCAATTACGTCGTATTATCAGTTAATCACTACTACAAACCCGATCCGCTGTGTTGACAGACGGATTTTAATACATATTCATTTGTAAATAGGGTGCAATTTGGCATCTTCTAAATAAATTGCATGCGAAATTTGGAAACGACTGTAACGTCAAAACCCATCTCGTGTTGACATTTATACGTGTGAATTGACGTGTTAGTGGCATTTTAGTGGCTACACGGGCTCCGCCCACTCCTCCGTTCTATTATGTATGTATTATAGTATTCTATGGTTTCCAGTAAAAAGGGTCTTCGGTTCACACTCACCATACGAAACATAGCAGCGTCAAGCTGCTATTTCACGCTGGTATTCTGTGAGAGCGTGGTCCTTCCTCGGTCGAGCCGACCCATTCGTGCTACAACTACTAATATAATTTACCCAGCTGACGAAAACAGTTAAATTATTTTTATATTAAGAAATTTGGACAAAAGTATTTTTGACTGAAAATATTGGTGAAAAGTAATTTTGACCAAGTGTTATAGTTAAAATCAGTTTTGACAAGGGTTATTTAAAAAAAAAGTTTAAAAAGCCCTAGCAGCTCAGGGGTTAAGCGCTCGCTATAAGTATCACAGATTGCGAATATCTCGGGTTCGAATCCCGCCGGCACCAATGAAATTGTAAATTACAATTTTAAGTGCTGATTTACCACGTGTAGGGCCTATCCTATAAAAAACATTCTTAGAATAAAAATGCTTTAAAAATTCACTAACTTGGCGTATTCTCCTCGTATGAACACCTACTTCCCCTGATAAGTACACTTTTGTGTTTCCACGTGAACTCCTGCAGATATGGGCAGTAGTCTGCAAGGGAAACTGAGCCACCGTAGTAGGCCTCTTCGCCTGGAGGCACGTTGGGAAGAATGTCGAAGTGCTGGAACGAAACAAGCACACTATTATCAACTAAACTCGACTGCAGAGATATATTATCAGTAGAAACTACAATGAACTCGACCTGTCTACGTTCCTTTAAAAAGTACAGTTTGCCAAGAAAATAGTTTGGGTTAAATTACATTATATTTTTTGTATAATACTGGCTGTGTTTCCTAGCAGAATGGCTATACTTAGACCTTGGACGAAAAAAGGACAATTTTTTCCACATTTTTTGACTCTACTACAAAATCTATGGATGTTGTATCCCGTTTTTATTTATTTTTCGAGGATGAAAATTGCGTCAGAGTGACATTTTATAACTTACATACTTACATTCCATGTTATATTTTATAAGGGCAAGCGCAGCAAAGATGATTATGAGAGCTAGATGCAGATTAAACGTTTAGCTGGAGATATTACACTATGGTTGTAATGGTTAAACGTTCCAGCATAAACGTTTATAAATAATATATAGTACCCGGATGACCGGTTTTTTTTAAGTTACATTTAGATACAAATTACATGAATAATATTTTTTTTTATCTTATTGACATAATAGAAAAAACTGAACTGGTTATTTGAATGAAAATCATGAGTGCAATTAGTTTAATTAAAATTTTTCTTATTTCTAAAAATTACCAAAAAAAGGGCTCGAAATAATAGATTTTCTCACAAAAGAAGGGAATTTGAAAAAAAAAAGGAAAAAAGTCGGAGCCAAGACGGGACACGAACCACAGAACTCCGATATTACGCCCGACCGACATCCCACCTGAGCTATTAAGATCGTTAGTAGTCTCTCAAAATTTACCATCTTATATTGTAGCAGTTTTTTTTATTGCCTGAAAACACGGACAAAAGGACATTTTCTAAAAATAAATCCTAGCTAGATCGATTTACTGCCCCCGAAACTCCCTGAACACAAAATTTTATGAAAATCGTTGGAGCCGTTTCCGAGATTCCGATATATAAAAAAAAAAAAAAAAACATATATATATATATATATATATATATATATATATATATATATATGTATATATATACAAGAATTGCTCGTTTAAAGGTATAGGATATATATATCTTTTTTGCTAAGCAAATTCAATCGATTTATATTGACAGCTATGATCTCGCAATACGGCGAAAAATCATTCCTATTCTAATTTTGATCGCACTGCACCGTGATCACCAATCCGCCAGCTAAGCGTGGCGATTCAGGCAAATACGAGCATGAAATAGCAGCTTAATGCTGCTGTGTTTAGTATAGTGAGTGTAGAGAACCGGAGACCTTTTTAATCGAAACGCTGCATTCCATCTTAGTCCTCACGGGTGACAACGCATCTGCATTTTTATTCTTAATCGAGGACAGATGTAGATGTCTATGGGCGCATTAACGTACCATCAGATAGACTATGTGCTCGTTTGTCAATCTTTATCTGTAAAAAAATATCTTTGTCGGTTACCTGATAGGCCCTCGGTAAGATGTTATCATGTCGCACCAGATTGCAGAGTACCACCGCTGTCCTCCTAGCTGAGCATTCTGTCCTCAATGGATCACCCTTTACCCGCTCGCAGAAAGGAGCTGGGTTCTTACGTCTGCAAAGATATATTATGTTAGAAAACAACCTAACACACGGTTCAATTTATTCTTTACTAGCGGTCAGCTACGGCTTCGCAAGAGTGATTTCTGGATATCGACAATAGCGCCTACGGGGTGAACCAATTGTGAATCTAAACCTTTATATATATATATATATCCTAGATGACTAGAAAAAAATTATGTCGATATTTTACAAAAAAGTGACACGTTTCCGTGATAGGGTGAGAAACTGTGTGATAAAAGAAGAGTGTAGTTTATAAGATGATGCGGTGACCAGGATTAAGAAAGGAATGCTTCGGTGGTTTGGTCATGTGGAAAGAAAGAATGAGAAAAGACTGACAAAGCAAATATATGTTGCAGAAGTGAATGGAAGAGTCGGAAAGGGACGTCCTAGGCGAAATTTTAGCGACCAAATTCGATATATTAAAAATCTGCCAAATTAAGAGTACCCTTAACCGACGAGCATGTATGCGTAGGTATATGGATGTGGAAGAGGCGAGAGAGGTGTGTCAGGATCGTGCTAAATGGAAGTCTGTAGTCTCTGCCTACCCCTCTGGGTGACAGGCGTGAGTGTTTATGTATTATGTATGTATGTATTTTACAAATAAAATAAAAACAAAAAATTTGAATTAAATAAATTAAGTAATTAAAATCTATCAAATTTCAAATCATACCTATACGAACGGTAATAAAAAAAATTTGTAGGCATCTTTGACCTTGGTACTTCGCAGGGTCACAGGCTCAAGGGAAAAGGGCAAAGTACTTGTTCAAAAATTTTTTTTCAAACGTTTACCTCGGTCACCTCTGAATACTAAGATGGATTTCCTCACAGCGTGTAATTATACTGACTCTGTAACCTGCAGACAGGAACACAGCAGTTCACGCACTGCTTTTTGCGACAGAAATAGGTAAGAGTGTAGTGCCTACGGACTCCTACGTAGCACCTGTGCGAGAGTATTTCTTCCCCGGTCGATTCAACACATTGGCGCTTACATTCCACCTCACTAAGTCCTCAGAGAAGTTTACACTAACCGTTGTAAGACCTCTGCGATACAGGTTCTATAGTGCGGAGAACATTTTTTTGTTATTTCAGTGTTTATTAACCATTTCATCATGGGACGCTCTGAATGTATAGTTATGTACATTGCGGCGGAATGTTCCCTGCTATTTATCATCATCGTCATTACGGTCATTCACTAGTCCACTGCTGAACATAAGCCCTACCAGGAATGCCACACAGCACGGTCCTGAGCCATCTGTATCATCGTTTTCCTGCATATCTTATCAGATGGTCTCTCCTAGAGCGAGGACTTCCAGTGCGGGACTTCCACTCTAGAAACCTGTCTTCCCATCGGATGTCGGTTCTTCGAGCTATATAGGCGGCCCATAGCCACTTCGGCAGAGAAACCCCGAGCATATCCCTTTCAATAGCTCCCTGAGCGACCTTGCTGCAAAATCCTTATAGAAATGAACGGGACCTGTGCCCACTATGGGACACATGTGGACTGTTACTTTACGTGACATTTTACTTAATAATAAATTGACTTACTCTTCCACATCGGTTCCATTCGAGACGCTTGCAAAATAAAAATAATTTTTTTGCAGAACATGAACATTATTGATGTAATAAATATACTTTTCTGTCTTACTAACTGCTGCATGTCGACAGCCATCGCGTTTGATGTAGTCGGACACCGACATAAACAATAAATTGGTTGTCAGACCGGGAAGAAATAAAAAAACTGATATTATTTTATTTCACGTTTAAACAAATTCCTGTGTATGTGAAAACTGAAGAAACTTTAATTTCTTATCTTTACACAAGTAGTGTTGTAATAGTGGAGACGAACTGTCCACTATTAACAGACTCCGAGTGGTTTTTCTTTAAGGTTCGACAGTACATTCATAAACATAAACTACTGTTTATGTTTATGAATGTACTGTCGAATGGGATTCGGAATGGAATATCTTTTGCATCAACCTTGCCTATATTTATATGGCTGGCTCACTATTGATTTGCCAATGGTAACAATTAATATTTTGCCTAGCCAATTATATTGCTTATTTTATGACCAATGAAAACTATTTAAAATATACAATTATCTACGTTTCGTTTCCCGGCGTGAGACTTGTTTGTTGTTCACGAAGCTACGTCGCTGGACCGGGCTATATAAGACATGCAGATAGGTGCGAACGAGTAGTCGGCGGGCGGCGGCGGTGTGGAATACAGCTCCGGAACAGCAAGAGGAAACGAACTGCGGCGTTGGAGAAACGGCTCACCATTGGTCGACGGATACGTGACGATAGCGGCGTGTGAAGTCGGTGTGGCGCTGAATGATATTTGCGGCTGCTTCTTGTTTCTTTATAAGAACGTCAAATTATCTATATACAGTCCGCAGTATCTCAGTAGCCAAGAATAATTAGGAAATAAAATGTTTTTTTATTTATTCTCGCCTTCCGCGTTATGGTAGCAGCGGAGTATATATTATTTATTCCCGTTTAGGTTTGATTAATCTGGCTGCTACATCACTCTCCCCCCAGCGAAAGCGTACCGGAGGCTTGACGACTCGCCCGTATTTCGTAGTTTTTAAAATAGGTTTCAACTGGGTTGATGTAGATGATGAATTTTCAAGCTTCCTCGCTGGTGGTTTTGATGATGATGATGAATCCTCTGCAGTATCCTCGTTAATAATATAGGCTGGCTTTAGTCGGTCGATCGATATAATCGTAGATTTCCTTCCGGGTATTTGTAGTTTAAAAGTCTTGCTATTTCTCTCTAATACTTTATACGGTCCATCGTAGGTAGGTTGAAATTGTTTTTTCATTGCGTCGTTTCTTACAAAAACTTGTTTGCATGTTTTCAAATCTTGGTGAATGAATACTGATTTATTATTTCTGTGTGATTGCATTTCGGTGCATTTCAACGATAAGGCTTTGTTAATTGATTCTCGAAGTTTAGTTACGAAATCGTAATCCATTCTTGTTTGTTCTGTCGATCATTGTTACGAGATAACGATGTCCTTGCGTGAAGTAGGTAATGGTCCAACGATGTCAACGTGCAAGTGTTCGAATCTCTCCGTGGGTGGAAATGTAGCTAGACTACTTGATGTATGCCTTTGTACTTTGCATTTTTGGCATTGAATGCATTGCTTCGCCCAGTTGCCAACATCCGCTTGCATTGCAGGCCAAAAGAATTTTTCAGTGATGAGTTTTCTTGTTGTTCTAACACCTGGATGACTAATGTTGTGCAGTGTATTGAAGACTTCGCGACGACATTCTTCTGGTATGTATGGTCGCATGGTTGTCGTTGAGGCTTCACAGTATATAGGTAGATGCGTCATTGGCATTGTAACTTGCTTGATGGACAAGTTACCTTGCTTCGCTAGATGTTTTATGTTGTCACTATCTCTGTCTTGTGCTGCGGCGATCTTATGATAGTCGATTGATGTAGGGCACGTTACACTGTCGATTGGTACGCGACTGAGTGCGTCGGCAACTATGTTGTCCTTTCCACTGATGTGACGTATGTCGGTCGTGAATTCACTTATGAAAATAAGTTGTCTTGCTCTTCGTGGTGTTTCCGATAGTGATGGTTTCTTTGGAAGTACATATGTTAATGGCTTGTGGTCGGTAAAAACGATCAGGTTTCGACCCTCGAACGTTTTTCTGAAGTGCTTGATAGCCATGTAAATAGCGAGTAGCTCTCGGTCGAATGTACTGTAGTTACGTTGAGTATCGGAGAACTTCTTCGAAAAATATCCAAGTGGTTGCCATTTCCCATTGCTGTATTGTTGGAGAACTGCTCCTGCTGAGAGATCGGATGCGTCGCTGAAGATAGCAAGGGTTGCTTCGTGTGATGGGTGAGCGAGTAAAGCTGCATTTTGGATCGCAATTTTACAAGCTTCAAATGCCTTCGTGGCTTCATCGTTCCATTCGATTGACGTTTTATCTTTTTTCTTCGTGTTGTGAAGGTAGGCGTGAAGTGGTGCTTGGATTTCAGCGGCTTTAGGTATGTGTTCTCTGTAAAAATTTATCATCCCAAGAAAACGCCTTAGCTCTTCGATAGTTTTAGGTTTTGCATAATCGATGATTGCTCTGACTTTTTCCGCAGGCGGTTTTATTCCTTCCTTGCTGACGGTGAAACCAAGAAATTGAACTTCTTGCTGTCCAAATATGCATTTCGAAGGGTTGATTGTGATTCCGTTGTCTTCTAATCGCTGTAGCACGTTGCGTAGATGGGTTTCGTGCGTTTCTTTATCAGGGCTTGCAACAAGGAGATCATCAATAAATGCGAAAACGAAATCCAGTCCATGAAGTACTTCGTGTATGAATCTTTGGAAAGTTTGACCTCCGTTCTTTAATCCTGGGATCATTCTTGGGAATTCGAATAATCCCATTGGGGTAATTATTGCTGTCTTCTCTATGTCTTCATCGCGGACTCTTATTTGTTGGTAAGCTCGGTTGAGATCGATGGTGGAGAATATAGTCTTGTCTGATAGTTGATGAGTGAAATCCCTGACTCGCGGTATTGGGTAGCGGTCAGGAGTGGTAATAGAATTCAGTCTTCTGTAATCTCCACAAACTCGTAATTCTCCGTTCTTCTTCGGTACAATGTGAAGTGGTGATGACCAAGGGCTTTTGCTTGGACGGCATATTCCTTGCTCAATCATGTTTTCGAATTCCTTTCGAACTTGCTCGTATAGGTGTGGTGCGATTGGACGTGCACGACAATGAAGTGGTGGTCCATTGGTGTCGATGAAATGCTCAACGTCGTTCTTCGGTGTTAATTTCATTGAAGTTATTCTTGTGATACCAGGGTATTCTTCGAGGATCTTGTGATACGGTTGTTGCACATCTATGCTTCTGATTGTGGGCAGATTGGTTGCTTGTACAAAAGACTGAGATGCAAGATTGGTTTTCCCGTCGATGATTCTTCTATTTTTGATGTCGACGACCAACTGGTGATGTTGAAGAAAATCAGCACCGATGATTGGTT